GAACTGTAAAATAACTGAAGATGGAAGTAAATTGATTGAATCGAATTAAAGACTTGTCTGGAGTAAATTGTTTGAACGCTTTATGTATTCGCGTATATATAACTATTTTGAATACTTGTCACTATTTATAGTAAACAGTTTGAGCTCAGGACAAAACGTAGTACCATAGACGTTCTGGTTGAAATTACAGAAAAACTTAGACACGGAGGTAAAATTCTTTTTGTAATTTTTTCTGGATTTAAAGAAAGAATTTGACGCTCTAGATCAAAAGAATTTGACGCTCTAGATCATTCCTAACTGATTCAAAATTTGATTGCAATAGTATCAGAGGTAGTTGTTTCCAATGGTTTAACAGCTATCTATCGGATAAAAGTAAAGAATTGAAATTCAGACTTTTCATCTGAATAGCTGGGATTAATCTGCGGCGTGCTTCAACGCTCTGCTCTAGGGCATCTGCTGTTTTTAATATATATCATAATATCGCCTAATGCATGCAGAAAAGCCTACCTAATGCATGCAAAAAAAATAAGTCTACCTCGTCGCTGATGACACCAATGTATCTGCTTTAAGTTTTCTTGGTTGTGATATTAATACTACCTTTGAAAATATAAATCATTGGCTGAATGCAAAAAGTTAGCTATAAATTTTGAATGTTCAAATGAACAGAAAAACAACTATATATGAATTTTCAGCAATTTTCATACAAAATCTCTTCAAATCCCATAAATTTTAAACTGCCTCCTACTACCTAAGCGTAAGAATCGACAGCAATTCAGTCTTCCAAAGTCAATTTAAGTATTCTAGAAAAAATACTTAAACAATACATGTAGCCCAGTGAAATCAACATTGTATCCCAATGACAGGTTCGATTCCCGGCAGGGTGCATTGCTGGTATAGTAGTATACAGATATAGTGAGAATAGTAATGGATAATCAGGTAACCCAAGGCGAACAGAGGAACCCATATCAGGTATATGTAGGTGAAAGGGTCAAAGTGGGTGCAAAAAAGAGGGTGAAGTGGAAAAGAAAAATAAAAAAATGATTTAATCTATTTCTTATTCTAAATTAAAATGCGCCGATAGCGCAGTTTTTATGAAGCGCGTCTGATGAACCGGGCACGTGGCTCGTATCCCACTCTGGTCATTTATTTCAATTTTATTATGATTCTTTGAGTAATCAAATTCATATTCAAATTGCGATCAAATATTTTGCGTGGGTTAATTTAATCTTTCTTTTTTTTCAAAAAAGAACAAACGTTCGGACACGCACTTCTGGAAATATTGATTCGCACCGCAACCTCACCTTTCAGAGGATAAGGTGAATTTTCTTGTGTGTTCATATGTTTCACAATCCACGGCACTCGAACTGTGTTGAACGAATGCAGCGCTTTGAAGGGTCCAGTTTCGTCCCACCATTGTGAAGAGAGCCGATCGAATTTGCGGATTTCACGAGACGACATTCCCTTATTCGCGCTATTGGTCGCAGCTGTGTTTTTTCTTACGTGACTTATAATGAGCGTCCTTCTTGCAAGCATGAAGCAAGGTTGAGTACGTCCACTTACAATACGCACACATTTTGATAAGATGTTTGCTGAATTCGATACTGAAAGGTTCATTTTTATACGTATATCATTAGTTCACCCAACCCACAGCAATTCAAATACAATCACAAAGCAAATGATCTGAAAAGAGAGTTCTGAATAAAAACAAGCACTTATCAAAGTTGGTAAGTATCATATATCTAAACGGAATCCTTATTAAAAGGCTGCTCAAAAACACATTAATTATGGAGATTTCAACGTTTTAATCGATTCAAGACGAAACAGATTTAAAACTTACGATCTCTCAAAATTCAATGTTTAAGTGGTCCTATCCTTGGCCTTATCATCATGGATTGTCCAAGCTTCATGAAAAAACCATGTAACTTAAATCCGCCCTTGACAATTTTGGCTCGCCTGTGCTAGCGAGTGACTCGCATCTGAGCTGAAAACAGATCATTGGATAACGCAGGGAATAACGCGTCCAAGAGTTCTTCAAGATAACAAGGGTAGCCAGTAACTGTGGGAGTAGCACATTTTGTTACGACCACAATAATTGAGCGGCTGCGGCCTAGCGGGTAAGGTGTGCGCCTCTTGCGGCCATGCGTTCGCCCACTTCGGGCACTGTTGGAGGGTTCCCAATGTCACCCCTTCTCAATCTGGGGACGGCTAGGGCAATTTGGATGACAGTCCACCTCCCCCAGGAAAACCAGGGGCTAATTTAAAACACACAAAAAAGCAATAATTCAAACGATTTTTTTACACAAAGACGAAGCTGAGCGTCGCACCACTTGCGATACAAAAATGAATGACTATGATTAAAAGAAAAAATTAAAAAAAAAACTTCAAAAATCTGTTTTTCTCAACAAAAAAGTTGCAACGAAAGCCCAAAATTTCCGGAATAAAATTGCCTGCATCATTAGAAAAAATAAAAAGAGCTTTCGGATGCTAGAAGGAAATCGGATTTTTGAAAAAAAAATCATTTCCGCGGAACTAAGCCCACGAAAATGAGCGGACTGACAATTATCTAAATTAGCCGAAAATTTTCTATTGGCAACAAAAACAGGTCTCGACTGGAATCGAACTCCCGGTCTTTGTCTTCTCAAGCGTGGTGGTTAAAACAACTTGAAAGAAGGCTTAACCTTTAAAAAGTTGGGCTACGGGAACTAAGCCGAAAAAAATAGAGACGGACGATAACACGAAAAAGCACAAACTCTAGTTACCAAAAAAAAACCAGGCCGGATTAGAAACGCAACCCTTTGCGGCCTCAAGCAGTTGGGTTACCTCGTCGCCAGATGCGCTGGATGGTTGATTGAATTTAAAATTATAAATACCAAGCGGTAAAAAAGACCTGAGCAGAAACCTTTCATGAGGAAAAAAATTGTAAACTAATGAAAAAAATTGTCCCTTTCCCCTCAGAACACACACATGCAAACAGAAACTTTTTTCTATCTCCAAATGACGCAATAAGAGGCCACTAGCTCGATATAAAATAAGACAAAAAGACAAAATGAAAAAAACTTTTTTTTTGACAAATTGAGGTGGTAAAACTACAACCAATCTAAAAAAAAACGACTTTCGATTAGGCTGGATTTTTAAAAAAGTAAAATACACTTGAAGCAGCAACAGTGAACTTTTTGTTCACATCATAGGTTGAATCCAAACAACCGGTTGCAAAAAGCATATCTTTATTAATGGCTACGCCCAGTTTTTGTAGAAAAAAAATACGGCCTTCAATCAATTGAAAGTTTTGAGCCTTTTTTTGAAGTTTTTTACTCTTCTCGAAAGTTACCGTGCCAATTCTCAGGTTAGGGTTTCAATCGAGAAATCCGATATTGGAAACCCTCTCTTCTTTGCTACCTGCTTTTAGTCGAAAAAAGTTGAGGATTTCGGAAAGTCAAGTATTTGAACTTCGTCCTTTTGTAGAAATTATTTAATTTTCCGAAAAACTACCTTATCAAATCTGAGATGAAAATTTCAATGGAAACAGGCGGTTCCGTGCGTTTTTTCCTGCAGAAAAATTTTCTTTGTAAAAAAAGTTTGCTTTGGAAAAAAATTTGAAATCTCAAAAACTTTTCCTCTTCACGCTTATTTTGTCAGAGAAACAACTAAGGTTTTGGGCGAAGTGCAATATTTTAAATTACGCATTTCGTCCTATGTCAGTATGAATAATTCGCAAAATATCAAGCATGTACCTCCAGTTTTAGCTGGGCCCTAGGTTTCCTTCATCGAGATAAACGAAAGTTTTGGTTCATCTAGCTTTTTTCAAGTTTTTTTTTCCATATTATGCTGCTGTCTCTGTTTAGTAAAGTAGCTTTTCTGAGATAAATATTGTTTCGGACTTGATCATTGTCTTTTGCCTTCTGGCCTATGTTAAAAAATCTCTTTTTATTTTTGAAAACAATATTTAAAAAAAATTCAAATTACGCATCTTCAGGGACCTATAATAATGATCGATATCGCTATGGATAATTGTTTGCTTCGAAGCGCTCACTTTAGTTTGAAACCAGTCGTTTCAAATGCTAAAGTCATTAATTACTATTTAATAACTTTAGAAATTGAAACTACTAATTTCAGACTAAATAAAGCGCTGTGAAGCAATCAATCATCCTTAACGATATCGATCATTATTCTAGGTACCTGAACATGCATAATTCAAATTTTTTAATTTTAATATTGTTTTCAAAAAAGGATTCTCAACATAGACCAGAAGGCAAAACACGATGATCGAGTCTGCAACAAGTTTGAAAACTTTTTAACGAAAATGATCATACCATCTAAACTACTTCAATATTTATCTCAGAAAAGCTACTTTACTAAACAGAGCCAGTAGCATGCAACGGCATTTTTATATTCAGAAAACAATTCTCAAAAGAATAGTAGCTTTATATACAGAGGCGAAGGGAGCTTCGCGCTATTTGCGCTGCAACAATCTTAAAAAAAACATAAGTCGAAAAAAAATGAAAAATGTTGAACAAAACTAGGTAAACCAACTTTTTCGTATATCTCGATGAAGGAAACCTAGGGCTCCTAAGGTTTCGAATCATTCATACTGAGGTGGTACGAAATGGGTAATTTCAAAAACTGCACTTCGCCCAAAACCTTAGTGCGAAGAGGAAAACTTTTGAGATTTTGGAATTATTTCCAAAAAAACATAACCTTTTTTACAAAAAAAAGTTGGAAAAAACACTTCTGCAAAAAAAATGCGCGCAACCGCCTCTTTCGATTGAAATTTTCATCTCATATTTGATAAGTTAGTTCGTAAGAATATTAAACAAATATCTACAAAACCAACGAACTTCAAATACTTGCCTTTCCGAAATCCTCTGCTATGAAGCAGGTAGTAAAGAAGAGAGGGCTCCCAATATCGGGTTTCTAGATTGAAAAACTGACCTCAGAATTGCCACGGCAACTTCCGAGTAGAGTAAAAAAAATTCCAAAAAAAGGTTCAAAACTTTCATTTGACTGAAGGCCGTAACTTTTTTTCTACAAAAACTGTGTGTAGCCATTAATAAAGATAGGCTTTAAGCAATCGGCTCTTTCGATTGAAACTATGATGTCAGATTTGTTTGGCAGGATAGTTAGAGAGAAAAAAAACAGAAAATGGTCAACAAATCGAACATTTGTCATTTCCGAGAATCCTAAGTTTTTGGTTTGAAATATAATACTCTTATCTGCTTGAGTCAAGCAGAAGAAATTCAACAAACCTGTAGATTTGAATTAACCCAAAATCCCAGGTTGGGCAGGGTCCTTCTCGTGAATAGTGAAATTTGAAAAAAATTGTCGGCGTCGGGTATGCAAAGGAGCTTCCTACATTCCGCTCTTTGTATTGAAATGAAAATTTCAGATATGGGAGGGTATCTTTTGGTGAAATTCGAAAAATTTAGAAAAACGCTCAAGAAAATTTGACTTTTCCAAGGACGATGACTTTTTGTGTTAAAAAAATGTGAAAAACCAATAATGCAGGGGATCTTCTAAAAACTTTTTATCTCCATTGAACTCATATAACCTCACGTTTGAGAGGCTAGTTTTCGAGAAAGTTGAATAAGATTCAAAAACGGTCTAAAAATTTTTAAAAAAAAATGGGTTATTCCGATGGCCATATTTTAGGTGTAAAAAAGTTTGGGCGTACCCTCTTCTGGAGGGGAGCTTTTCAAACCCGTGCTAGTCATTGAAACCAAAATCTCAGATTTAGTAGGTTAGTTTTTGAGAAAACGAATTAAAAAAATAAAAAACATCGATCATTTTTCCCCCTACAGACTTTATCGAAACCTGTAGAAAAAAATGAAAAACAAAAAAAGACCCGGGAAGTAAGCAGGCACACAAGAATATAAGCGTTCTTTCGATGGACATCCGTTTTTTCTTGAAAATCGGTAAAAGGGTTTTTGAGAAGTGGCAAACTTTTCGAAGTTTCTCAAAAAATAATAAAAAACCCAATCCCATACACTTTTATAATACCGGTTTTTATCAAACATGAGTTCTGGGCAAACATGCCAAGCAAGACGTTTGAATTTCAAATTAACAATAGAAAAAACTTCTGAAGCAGAAACAAGGCCGGTAATCTATGAGCAGACACCAGTTGAGCCGAAAAAAAAAAACTAATTTTGTAAAATAATTAAGAAGTTACAAGTCCCCTCGGAAACTACCCTGTAGTAACTAGTGCCTACACAGTAGGTACATATGAATTTTCAAACTACCCACCCAATCAGTAGTTAAGCATGTCAACTGCACTGTGATTCGACTGATTTTGTTAAACTAGTTTTTAACCCAAAAAAATCTACATTCTGGATGTGATAACGCTTGCAAATCGCAAGCGTAATGATCATTTCTTTCTTATTAAGTTTTCAATTTAAAAAAAAAATACAGTTACATAGTTATCAAAGTTTTTTAAATGACGATGAAAACAATCAAGGGTCTATCAAGTAGGGGGTGAAGAGTGCTAAAAAAGAATGACAAACTTCAAGTCCCAAAAAAAGGTAAAACTATAGGGTTAAAAAATGATCGCTGCAACGGATATATGGGGTATTATTTGAAAACTATGAATCCAGAAAACCTTATACACAAGGCAATATATTGGCTAGTTAACATCTCAATAGTTCCAAATTATGATCCAAACGAAACGCGAATCAAAGAATGTATAATTATAGAAACAATTAGTTTAAAAAAAGTGTGATAGGTTGAAAAATATTTAGAGAATACAGCAATCTCGCTTCGAAAAATCAAACTTCAATCTACTAAGAAAACAATTTATAGCCAGGAAGAACTTATTATTGCTTTAGGATAGTAAGCTTTTTACAAATTGTAGAGGCTGCGCGAACACCAGCAAAAAAAGCAACCGCAAAATTTAAAATCAAGATCATAAGCAAAAAAATATTAAGATTTAGTGGACGATGTAACCCCCATAATGTGACTTATTTAATTTCTCCGCTAACCCAATCCCACTGCTGTTTTAGTGATATGGCTTTAAAAAATTGCCGGATTCGAACCATTGACTTTTGTAACATTCAAGGGTAAATTGATTCAAGTGATTCTGTTAAACTAGTTGCTAACCCGAAAAACGTCTACATTCCGATTTGATAACGATTGTTAATCGCAAGTGCAAATAAAGCGGGTAAAAACAAAATTTCTAAACGAGGACCACATATGGAGCAATATTACAAGATATAGTGAAAATGAAATTAGTATTATACTCAAAATAAATTAAACTTGACGAAGAAGGATAGCCGATTGCAGTGCAGGTAGCAAAAAAATTCAGACTATGATATTTGAAAAAAAAACTTTTTATCAAAATATGTGGTTTCTTAACCATGATGAGATGAAACAATCTGAACAAAAGCCAAGAACTTAGGCAATCTCGATATAACGAGTAAAATAGGCATATCTGAGTAATTAACTAAAAGTTTTCCTCGAAAAAATTCTCAGAAAACTGAATAAAAATGGAATCAAATTTGTTTTTAAAATTCTGGAAAAGGCGCTAAAAGAAACTTCTGAAGTAAGACTTAAGGTCGACACAGTGAGAAATGTAGCTTATAAGCTTAAATATGATATATTACTCAACCCATTCTAGTGAATAATTCTGGTACCTGATGTTGCAAGGAAAACAAAAAAAACCAAAACGCACCCGGAGACAACGTTACTCTCCATTTTCAATAGTCGCAACGAAAACTACAGACAATGTATAATGTGGTTATAGATAATTCAAAAAAGAGAATTCTTTGCAGAGAAAAAAGTAGCTATACATAAAAAAACAATCCATCATCCAGATCCGCCTTTCGCAGTAGAACTTGCAAGCATAAAATATTCTGACTACAGTTATTTGAGTGAAATTATGGAAAAATCAGTAGAAGAAACAAGGGCAAAAAAGGGTTAAATTATACAAACAACAGCTAGAATAAGCTATTTGCACCCATATCACATTAAAAAAAAACATAGTAAAACTAATGCCCCAGCTACAGGTACCTGTTTGAGAGTTTTCAATAATTTATTCTGCTGATGCGGTTTCTCCGCCAGAATTGGAGCAGGCGCTCATTTAGTGGAGATCAGGTGGTTAAGTTCAGAAAATATGGTAGATTTCCAAAGCACCTCGAAAAAGTTAAAAACCAAATCTCTTCCATTTTTATCAATGACAAATCAGCTTCATCTTTGCGTGCCTGTATATATGCATATTCTGCTAGTGTCTCTTCATGAGAAGGTTGAATTCCAAGGTACCTACGACCCATTTTCAAAATAAACTACCAGTTCTGAGATTAACAGGAACAAGTGATACCCATACCCTGCTCTTTCGATTTAACTCACAATCCCAAATTTGGCAGGCTCGTTTAAAAAAAAATGAAATGTCAAAACTTAGATTTCTCTGAGCCAAAATTAGGGAGTAGCCGCTTATGCATGGAACATCCCCATAACATGTTCTTTCAATTGAACCATTAATCTAAGAATTGGTATGGTCTTTTGGAATAAAGGACAAAGACAAAAAAAATGGGTCAAAAGTTCTTTGGAATTGGAAAAGCCCAAGGCCGCGAGGCATGAGGTAAGTTTAAGAGAGACTAGCAGAATATACAAGAGCACATGTGAGCTGATTTCTCCACTGATACCAATTCGGTGAAAATCGGATTGATATACCCAAAATTTTCCGAAGCGTCTCAAAAAAACTAGATAAACAAATCAATGCTATGTTTTCAAAAATAACTTCTTATTTTTCAAAAAGGAAATAGATTGCAAGTTAACTCTATCGCTCATTCATGCGTCCAAATTATTCTAAAACAAAAACAAAATAATTCTGACCAATTTTTTTCGACCGACAATCAGACATTTTATTTTTATTTTTTGGAACTCGAATCACATCTTGTCAGGCAATGCTATGATCCCACACTTGACCTCTATGAGCTTTCCCTGAGATACCTAAATTTGGGCGTAAACATGAGTACCTTACATTTGCCGAAGGTCGCATTTTTGTAAATTGCTTCAGCGATAGTCGCTTGTAATGATTAATTTTTCGGTTTCACAATTTGCCTGGGTCAGTTTACTGTTCTGCCCCCCCCCCCCGCTATGTTGCTGCCGGTTATGAGTAATGATATGTCGCATCACCCTAGTAGATTTCAAAATATTGATTCGCATAATAGCAAAACGTTTCCCTGCCACATTTTCGAAACCATTTTCATCGATTTATTGCACTCAAGCCTTTATCCAAAAATGCTTGATTTGACTCAAAAGGTCAAACACATCTCTAACAGTTTCGACCATCCTTCTTTTAATTTGCAGGCTGATATTTTGACAGCTTAAGATTGATCATTCTGACATTGTTCAAATCGGTTAAAAGGAACATGTTTATTCTAAATTACAAAAATAGGACAATGACGTGCTGCTTGCACAGAAACCTGGCAGTTTTTTTAAGTAGCCGTAATTTAAAAAGATTCAAGGTCATTGTCACGACAGTCCTCAGTTGAAAAACGAAAATCACAACAAATTGGTCGAATTCACGATTATTCATTCATAAATAAGATAAACAAAAGCATTGCATTTTCAACTGAAAGGAAATCTCAGGCGTATTCTGACTTTAATTCCAGACAATCTTTACTTCAGGGTAAATTGCTCAAATTGATTAGTTGAAACAATCTAAACAAACATAGAAAACATGACGTGCATTTTCCGTTTTCAATAAAACAAAGTTTTATGTTATTTTCCTTTTCATCCATCAAATCAGGTCACATCAAATCATATCTCCATACGAGAAATTGAACTTGACCTTCACCAAGTATTGCATTTTGATCTGTGAAGTATCGTAAACAATGAACTCATTGTAGAGCAGATCCGTTTTGCTCAGGTCATTTTCGATCGGTTTCCCGCACGGAATCACACAGCCCGACTGCCAAGTTTTGCTACCCGCCGGATCAGGACCTGTTTTACCCATTCCATGCACACTGTAAGTCAAAGTTGGCGGTTTCTTCAGACTACTATCAGCCGATGTCAAGCAATGACTCTTACCAAGCGCCACTTCACACAGGAGAAGCAAACCTTCGTTGTTACATGGCGAAGCGTGGCAGTAATTCGCACTTTTTGATACCATGTCCGCAAAATAGACGCCTTTGCCAAACATGTAACCAGTAACGGGCGCTTCGGGAGGGGCAATTTTAAGACCCTTGCTCAGAATGCTCGCGAAGTTTGACAATCTGGAACCGTGCCAGAGCAACTTCCTTTCCGGCCATGCATTGAATGGCGTGAATTTGATCGTTTCCTCTTTTCTTTTCAACTTGAAAAGATCAACAATTTCCAAACTGTAATGACTGTGGGTGGAAGCGTGCGTGTTCTTCACATAGGTTTCAATGTCTTTGAAATCATCTGTTTCTTTTTCAACTGGTTCAATTTTGCATTTCAACTTTTGGTAGTAAGAATCGATCATTGATTTCGTTTCTCCATCACCTTCACCCGAAACAGCCGAGAGAATTTTATACGCGCTTTCAATTTCCGACAAACTGTCCAGCATTTTGCATTTTGAATTGATGATTTCTGTGTTATCCAGCAAAGGTGCTCGGCGCATGCCGAAATCATGCGGTATTACCGTGAAAAACCTATTCGAAACATCCAGAATTTTCATTTTATTCTTCTCTCGATCTTCTTCATTGACATACAGCGATGCCTCGGAGAGAATTTTGTAACCTTCGTTGATCTGATTTTTGCTCAAACGGCCGAGCGGCATTTTCTCCATATCGATTTCAAATTCTAGCATGTCTCGTTTCAAATTTTCAAAGTTCGCAATCAGTTTGATCAAATTTTGCAACGGCACTGGTAATTTCGACTCACCTTTGTCGAAATCTTGAACCTCATCACAACTTGAATTATCTTCATAATTCACCTCAACCGGGGCAAATTTTCCAGCTTTCTTCTCAAATTTACTCCGATTGCTCCACTCGTTTCCTGTTTTGTCAAGATATACCTCTTCAAAATTTTCAATTGCCACATTTTTTGACAGAAACTGTTCCGTTTTATCATCGCCTATAGTTGTGCCTAATCGTCCCCAAGCTCGATAGACTCGATACACTTTTTTCATGCCTTTATCTGACTCCAGTAATTGAAGTTTGTAGTACGAGTTGTACCCTCTTGCAATATCAACCATATTCAAAATACAACTGTAGGGCTGACTTGGCTGAGAGTCATTGCACATTAAAACATGATGATCATCTCCCAATCCTGATTGAGGATCAACGGCTGCTCCGCCTTTAACCTTGACCTTCATAGATTTCAGTTCACTTTTCCACATCGCATCTCGCTTCGCCTGCTGTTTTCCGGAAACTTCTGTGTTGTTATTTTCAAACACGTTTCGCTGTTTAACCGCTGCCACTTCCGGGAAGACTTTTACATTTGGCTTATACTTGACATCTTTGAATAAAGATTCTGGATCATTTTCCAACTCTTTTGGAACTTTAAATGCCTTTCGCTTGTGATCTTTAGACGTGTACAAACAAGACGTATATGCTGACACTTGGCCCGAGCAATGATACGCGTCCGATTTAGCAAACACTTGACCTTTACATTCAGGACAGGGTTCCGTAGCTCCAAAAATCAGAATATCAGCAGCACATTGGTACAGCTCGGTATCACCACGTGGCAGTGTAGTAACGTTTTCCTCTACAAAAGTCCGAACTTCCTTCTTTTCCAGCAGCTTCAATTTGTCAATCAACTTCCAGATTTTCTTGTTTTGTTTTGCCAGTACTTCGTTGTCTACTTTTGGCTTTTTAGCCTCTTGCTTATTGCTTTCATCTTCGGTTGTTTCTTCTGTTCTTGGCTTCTTTCTCGAAACTTCAACCTTCAGTAACTCTTTCAGCATTTTTTGGTCTTCGCTCTTCAATGAAGAATATCCAGGAACTTTCGCGACATCATGACCGAACCCAACCTCTTCCATGCTGTCCTTGAAACATTTAGGGTGTCTCCATCGTTTCACAGCTCCATACCTTTCGTCATGGCCCATAACTGATATTCTAAGCTCACCTTTCAGCAATTTCTCTTCGCATGTTCTGCAACTTGCTCGTCCAGAAGCGGCGTACTCGATCAAAAAATCACTGATTTTTGTCAGATTTATGGTCCCGTCTCCAGGGTCACCCAACTTTTTCTTAATTTTCTCCTGGTCGTCCCATCTCAACTCGTTGAAACCTTCGATGTCCAAAACAGTTTTTGGTCTGTTACGTTCAAAGAAACAGCTATAATGGAACCATCGCGTCAATTTCCCGTCCCATTTTGAGCTCTGGGTCACAGACGCAATTCGTAAGCTCTCTTTTTGAATCGTGTTTGAGCACTGTTTGCACGAAGCCCGCGAACTTTTGGCGTAATCCGCTTGAAATGGCAGACTCTCAGAATCGGCCATTACAAACTGTAATTCGAAATATAAGGTTTTTATAATACGTTCAGATAGCAGAAAGGAAGAACTAAATACTTTTCAGCAACGGAAGTATCAATTACTTCAATTAAAACTATGACAGACATTTGCTAACAAAACTTTAACACAGGGTCTAAGATGGAATGACCCTGTAGAATTTCACTATTAGCAAAAAAACAGCCAACAGACAGTTGGAAAAAATTCAATGAACTGAAAAATTCGACGAAAAAACTAATAATTTCAAAAAACTTTCGGAATTTTCTTTGCTGTTTTTTGCCCCATTTCATTTTTATCGTTGAAGAGCGCAATTTAATTTTTTTCCAGCGAATAAGCTTGAGCTGAACTTCAAAAGAAATCAAAGCCAAAGCGCTAAAAAATCAAACATCAGCGTGAACAAATTCTAAGACTTCCTGAAAAAAAAACACGACCCAAATAATTGCAAATCACATAAACTCAACTTAAGTTATTGGTTTGATCTCCGAAAGGAAAAAAAAAACAACACGACCCAAATAATTGCAAATCACATAAACTCAACTTAAGTTATTGGTTTGATCTCCGAAAGGAAAATTTAAATTAGGATAGCGGGTTACTTTAGCACAGAATGTTCCGACGATAGTCTTTAAAAAATACAATTTTATTTCCAATTTTTTCAATGTGGTGTGACAAAACAAGCTTAAATATTAGGCAACTGAAAATAAATATACAAATATTAGGCAAATAAATATTAGGCAACTGCGACAGTAAGATTCAAAAAGGCCAACTGCAAACCAGCTTTTGTAGCAAAATGGCTAGAAAAACGAAAAAGAAATGTAACAACAATTTGAAAAATTTTTTCCTAATTTTTTTGCAGAAATGTTTTGAATTTTTTGGAAGTTTTTGCCTAATTTCTATTTTTTATTTTGATTTTTATCACACCACATAGAAAAAACGACACTGATTTGAAATAAAATGGTTTTTTATAGACTATCGCCGGAACATTCTGCTATTATAACCCGCTATCCTTATTTAAATGTACTTTTCGAAGATCAAGCCATAACTTTAGTTAACTTTATATTATGTGATTTGCAATTATTTAGGTCGTGTTGCATGTTTTTTCATAGGATTTTTTCACGCTGATGTTTAATTTTTAGCGGTTTGGCTTTGATTTCTTTCAAGCTCAGCACAAGTTTATTCGCTGGAAAGAAATTAAATTGCGCTCATCAAAAAACTCAAAAAATTAACTTTACTCAATTAAAACTAAATTTTCAAGGCTTCATTTAAGCTTTAATTTTTAAATGTCGTTCGAATCACTACTGAGAGGGCTTCAATATGATCTATCACTCGACCCATTCCGATGATTATTGGTGGTACCTGATTTTGCGTGGCAAACAAAAAAAATTGAAAACACACGCGAATACGAAGTTCCTCCACATTTTTCAAAGGATCGAAACAAAAACGTGAATGGTCGGCATAGGAACAATTCGTGGTACGTGATTTCACACAAAAAGACAAATCAGAAGCGTCTAATATTAACGGATTTGAAACGTACCGATTTTAGCGGATTCAGTTATGAGGGTTTGAAGCGTCCCGATATTAGCGGATTCAGTTGTGAGGGTTTGAAACGTCCTATATTAGCGGGCAAAACATTTCGTCAAACTAAAGGGTCGTCAGCGGCAAACTGAATCATTCCCAATTAAATGGGGCAAGCAATTCATTCTTATTAATACGCAACCAGGCGCGAATTATATCACTTTATACTTTACTTGGCGTCTGGTGGGGGTGATTAAACAAAAAAAATGAAGGTTTCTATTAGTTTTCGAAAAGTTTTATCATTTTTTCAATCAAAAACATCTTCAACGGAACATTAAAGGTCAGATACGAGCAGTCTTTTCTAGAGTAAAAAAATCTACAACAAGAATTTTTGCAAAACACCAACCCAACTTCAGTTAACTTGAAAGAATTACGAAACTGAGAACGAACCTATTGTAACATCTTTAAAATCAATCGTTTCCGCTCTGCATCAAAACTAAATGAAACAAACATAGCCGGGAAAAATTGACATTTTGAATAAAATTGACTCCATTTGAGAAAAAACAGTAAGTTGGAAGAATGTCAATGAACAAGGAAACCGAAAAACAAGATTGATTTCGAAATTCCAAGAAAAAATTACATCATGGCAAAGCTCTTTCAATTTGAAGAACATTTAATGATTGAAAATGTTTTATACAACATAACTAACTATTCAATAGCGTAATTTTTTTTCTTTTCACCAAAAGAATTGGGATTAAGCTTACAAAAAAAGCACACCGCAAAAAAAACCGAATTCAGCCAGAAACAAACAAAAAATCAAACAAAACAAATCAGTGCCTTTTACAAATTCATTGATGATAAAAAGTTTGACATTTTCTCAAAACCAGAAGCATCTTCGGACAAGGTAAAGCAGAAACACTTCGAAATCACCAATCGCGGCGAAAATTTGGGAAAAAAAACTTTCACAACTGAAACAGGGACTTCATAATTTTAAAGAGGCGAAACGGAGATTCGCACCACTTGCGATGCAACTCAAATACGAAAAAGAAAATTAACCGACAAGAAAATTGGACGTAATTTAAACACTAGAAAGGCGAAAAAACTTCCAAAACTTTATTATGTATGAATTTTATTGAACAAAAATCAAAATGATAAAACATTTCAGGTAACTCAATTGCAGCACCCAATTTAGTACAGAAGCAAAACAAACGAAGCGGCAACAAAGCCGACGGTAATTGACCAGACAAAAAATCGAGCCGAAAAACAAATGTTTTCATTAAGAAACATACAAACTGATCCCCTCACGAGACACTTAGGCATATTCGCTTATCAGAAGACACAATATGAGGAACTTAAAACGATATAATAAAAAGCGAGACCATTCAAGCTTAATGAAGATAAAACCGAAAAAACAGTTTTATATGAAAGTGTTGGTAAATTAATTGTAAAAATTTGAATAAATTAGGTAAAACTGCAAACATGCTCTAATTACAGTATGTCTGTTTTGGTTAGCGAATCTAGTTAGCTGGTAGTAGCTGCTGAGTTCCGCTTCGAAGAGGCCATGAATCCCGTGTACAAAGTTTTAAAAAGGTTTAAAAGGTTTTAAAAGGGTGAAAAGGTTTAAAACCCGGTTGCAATACACTAGCTCTCGCAAGTGTAATTAACATTAAAGAAAACGTAGTGCTCTGATTCAACGAAAGTTATACAAAGACGCCAAGCGGAACTTCGCATCACTTTCGATACAACACAAACATAAAAATATACTTTGGAATTTCGAAGTAAAACTAGATTGCCTTGAAATGGATCAATACGTAAATTTTATATTTTGCGGGGAAATCTGAAAAATCAATTCCACTTTCGAAACTAAAACTCGATCACGTTTTTGTGATCTTTTCAGTTTTGCTGTTCGACAGTGGAGTTTGCCTACCTTTTAACAAATGAAACGAACAGATCTTAAAAATAAATCAAAAGTCAAGCCGCGAAAAAATAAAATTGAGCCTGGAAGACATCCTGAACAAATATCATCACGACCTATCTTAGAGTCTGAACTGTGTTCATCGACTCTTTAAAAAACGGAAAATGAACCGACGGAAGCCAGGACGAAAACCAAGAATCTAAAAGGTTTCGACAAATTCATTTGAAAAACTTTACTGCCTGAAAAGAACTCTGTCTAGCTGTGAACTAACGGGAATGCAGGTTGTTTTTATTCAATTTTTAATGAGCATGGTTACCATTATTACTTGTACCAAAAAATATATATATATTTAAGTTTGACAAAAATTAAATTTTCGTATACCTCGATAGGAGCTTATTCTAGGCAAACATGACAGACCTTTGAACAATCAATTATCAGCGGAACATAACGTACGAAAAGGAAACAAAGCCGGTAACCTATGAGCAGACATCAGTAGAGCCCAAAAAAAACTTTATAAAATTTTAAATTTAAAGTACCTCTTCAAACTAAAATGAACAAAACTACAAGCATCGAAGCCGCCAAGCATTGAACAGACAGAATTTGAGCCGAAAAAAAACTTTTAATTAAAAAAAAAAAACTAAAAAATTTTGAGTCCTCTCTCAAACTACATTGAAGAACACTAGCACATGCAAATCAATGAAAGTTGCTTACAGCACGAGCCGAATCCGTTATGCGGCGACACAACTTGAGCAGACAAAGGAAAGTACAACAAATCATTTTTAACCGCAGAAATTTCAATTGCATACAAACTGAAAAAAAACAGTAACCGGCCGGGATTCAATCCCCTGACTTTAGGGTGCAAAAGCGATGGCGTTAACTCTAGGTCGAAAGAGCCTGGAAATAAGAAAAGCAATTAAGGTTTGTAAGAAAGTTGTTTACGGGAAGAAGTCTAACACCCGTTTATGAAAGCAAAACGAAAATTGCTATCAAGATAATGAACACGACAAAAAGTATGCTAAATCAGTTTCAAACGTAGTAACTTCGCAAAAATAGTCAGCAAGAGCAGTGAACAAAACCCAGTAAAATTGCGTTGAGCAAAAGCTAAACTAAATGTAACTCACCTCAGACAGATTGATATACGTGAAAACTACTTCTATATTAAGTAATTGGAAAAACGATTGGAATGCGACCGTAACATTAGACGGAGGCATCAAACGCCTTTGATTTCAAAGATTGAACGAAACGAAAACTTTGACTTAACGGTTACTTTCAAACTGAAATGGTATTTCCCAAAACTACTGTGTTTCAGTTCTTCGTATTTTGAAACAAAACACTAAAATGGCCGGCAGCATAAAACTGCACTTTGTATATTTAATTACTTCATGGGCAAAGCCACTGAATCCATGAATGAGACTCTTGCTTAACTTAGTTCTTTCTTTTCATTAGCTAGAACGCATATCATTAACTGCAATCAAAAGATAAATCCAACGTAATTAACTTAAAAACATCAGACTTTTTTTCTTAGTTTAATTTTTACTTAATTAAATAATAAAGAAGTCAGTTTGTAAATAGGTCGAATAACTGAACAGTTTGAGAATAAATTTTAAGATGGCGACCACAACTGCTGCTAAAAAGGTGACTTCGCCCCACAAATGTGTCGACAATTTCCAATTTTGAGAAAAGTATTTTTTTAAACTAAACACAAAATCGTGAAAAAGTCATTTCTAGCAGGGAAAAGAATGCGTAAAACACTCGTATTTGGAGTCCAGATATAATTTTCCTGAGACCTTGACAGCACCTCACCATACTTTTGAGAATTTCAAAATTTATTTTTTATAAATTAAGTTTTTTTTTAAGTTTTGAAAATCATAAAAAATGGGATATCTCGGAAACTAAAACAATTTCAGCAGTCACATTAGGAGGAATCAATTGCAAATATTGATACTAGCCTGGTAGCATCCAGCTTTTGGGTTGTGAAATTTCAATTTTGTAAAAATTTAGCATCTCAGTTTTGAAAACTTTTAAGCAAATTATAAAAAACGTCATACCTCGGAAACTAAAAGCATTTGAGCATTCACATATGGAGGCTAGAAATTAAATCACTGAGAGTACCCTGACATCACTAAACTACAGGGTTCGGAATTTGTCAAATATATTTGAAAACTCGTAAATCCAACTTTTTCTCAGAATTTTTGAAAAAAAAAAAAAAAAAAAAGATCATATATCGAAACAAGACACTTGAGCAGTCGTATTTGGACGCACAATTGGCAACTCATTATAGTACCCTCACAGTAGCCACCTACTTGGTTGGGAAATTCACGTTTTTGAATTTTTTAAAACAATTTCTGAAAATTTGGAATAAAGCATAAAAAACGTCGTCTCCTAAACAAGGATATGAGCAATCACATTTGGAGCCAACATTCGCAACCCCCGAGAGTACCCTGACAGCTCCTCATTATAGAGATGGGAACTTCAAAATTTGGGAACAATAATAGAAAAACGTCACATTTCAGAAACTAAAACTTTTGAATAGAACTACAAAAATGGCTAAGAAGGTTGAGTAAAGCATCATAATAAAGGCCATTCAGTCATGATTCAACAATTTAATTGCAAAAAAACTCCGTTTTAAGAACTAGCGATTTCAACACCATTGCAAGGATTAGGGCACAGATATATCTATATATTATTTAGATTGAAAAAATTATAATTATATTTCATATTAATTTGATTGAAAAAATTATTCGGCTTCCCGAAAACACTAACACGGCCATTCTTACTCACCCTCTCCTTTTCCTCATTTTTATGGTCTATGAATTCTTTCGCTGTTTCTTACGGATTCATTACATCTCACCCATATATAGAGATATCGGAACCTATTTATGGAAAAATTGTATTTATAGAAACAATTAATTCGCTTCTTTAAGAGCAAACACAACAATTACTCTATTTATTCACCATTGCTTTTTTGTTCGCTTTTTTACTAGCAAGTTTCTGTTTCTTTTTCGACACAGCTCCATCCTTGGCTCCACTGCTCTTCGCAGACAAAACGAACTCGGCCGCGAACTCAGCTAGCGATAGGTCATCGTCTACTATATTCGTTTTCAATTCCCCTTTTTTCTTTTTTTTCTCCGGTAGCTGCATCATTTCGACCGGGAACTTTTTCTTCCGTAGAGGAATAGGAAAGACTGTTACTTCGTCATTCAGTGACACTTTTCGTTTTTTAGTCTCTACTAACTCTAATGATGTAGCGGTGTCGTGGACTTCTTTTTCGGGCATCTTACCATCTTCTTGACTCGTGTCAACATTCGTAATACACACCGCTGAAACAAAATTAAAACTGCAATATAACATTTAACGAGCATATAACCAGTGCTGATGTCAAATTTAGGCTACTACCAAACAGTGATGATTGGTCTTACCTAATGCGAGCTAATCGGCTGGTGATTCGTTCGAGATTTTGACCCAGTTAAAATCCAAAAAGGTTCCTGCGATGCGCATTCCTGAAAACACCCAAACTTGACATCTATTGATCATTGACATGCTCAATGACATCTACACTGGTTAACAGTTGCTCTTTCGGTGAATGTTAAGTTTCTTATAAAAACACTGAAAAAAATTTTACCTTGAGACCTTGAGAACAGCTCGTTTCAAAAATTATGCTTTTTTCTGGAAAAAACTCAAATCTGGCATGAGTTTTCTTATATCAGACGCAAAAAAGAATCCTTGTATTCCAATGAAATCGTGAAAAAAATTATCACTAACCATTTTGACTGAGAGCATTGTTCGTCCTTTTGTTTCCCTTTTTGCCCTTTTTTCCCGTCGCCTTTTTCTCTTTTTCAACAACCTCTTCAGACACAGTCTGCCAAGAACCATTGACATCATCGGTATCTTCTTCTACAGTTGATGTTGCATTCAAACTAGAGACACTCAATTCGGTCTCTGATTGCCTTCTAGTCCCAGTCTCGTCTTGAATGTAGTTGTCAGTCGGTTGTTGAATAGTAGAGCTATCTTCAAATGTCATCAAATCGTCCGTCGCTTTAGTTTCTAAAAAAACGGATTTTTCGTTACTGACTTATAACGAGGAAAATGAACTACTCGCAAATCTTTGAACATGGCTTAAGATAAAATCCTATCAGCAAACGAACTTGAACACAAACATAAGTTTTATTCAAATATAGCAAAAAATAAGACGCAAAGCTGAGCTTCGCAGCACTTGCGATACAGAATAAAATGCCAGAACCCAAAAGTCTTGAACGAAAATTGAAAATTTTAAATGAAATCTGTTGTAAAATCGTAGGCTGAAAAAATTAAGAAAAAACTTATTGCAATTGTTATAGAAATCAATTACCTAAAACATAAGAAAGATTCGGGCTACACCAACTCATTTCTTTCAGATAACCAATAGATGGAGAAAACCTTGGCCAAAAATCGAGATCCAAAAAGTCCTAAATGTACTCAAAAACTTTGTTTGAAAGCTTGCAACCAAGCAACCTGCATATGCTACAAAAACACTTGTCTATAAACAACAACAGGAAAAATGGTTATAAGTTATAAAACTTAAAAAATGAATGCAAAAAGTTCAAATAAATTCCTCAAAATCGGAAGAAAAACTCTGTCAACTGATAAAAACAATCCAATTACATCAAACTTATAAATTGTGAACTTGATACGCAACGTTTAAATAACTAGATCACAACAACAAAAAAAGACAAAAATGCTCGTATAAAAAAAAATTCAGCCAGAAAAGGACCACAGTTCTAAACCTCGAGCGACAATCGCCGCTTATCTTCGTAGACAAAACAGGCGGGTCAAATATGCAAAAAAAATAAATCGAGTTCAAATAAAACTGTTCAATCCTAAGACACCAATAAATTAAGACTGTAACTAATTCCACACAATTTCAAATAAAAAAACTAATCAGAAACCTTGTATCCAAAAAAAAAGAAAAAATACCAAATCAATGCTAGTAAAATTACTAACAAGAGAAATAAATCAAAAAACTAAAAGCAACTGCGTACAGCGAAAAAAAAACACTTCAGGCAACTAAGACAAAACATAGGCAGACAAGTCATAAGCCGACAAACAATTTTTTGAACGGAATATTTCCAATTGGAAAAAAAGTCCTGTCAGATTCGAACCAAGAACCCTTGCCGTCGGAGACGCATTCTTTAACTCCAGTCCCCGAGACAAAAAAAAATCAAATTCATTATGAACTGAACCTATATTTACCATTTCTAATTTTGACCATTCTGTGTATACAAAGTTATTTAAGGGGAAAAAAGTCTAGTATCCGATTGCAATCCCTTGGTGATCGCAAGGATAAAAAACATGTTAACTTTGACCCCTTCACCTTGGCCGTCACATTAGTTAACTAGGATTGAAGCTGCTCGGCGATGCATGTAAAATAATACATTTTGACCGGTTGCAAAATCAAACTCAGAACCAAGTTCCAAGTTGACATGACATCCACCAAACCGCTTGAGAGGATGGATGTCAAATCACCCATATACGGACCACTTGTATCTGGGACAAGGAAAACACTGCGACAAGGCGCAATAACCCAAAACAACTTCACAGATAACTGTTTAATCAAAGAAACAAGCTAAAAATATATTTTTGCCACTATCAAACATGTATTTCAGTTTAAAGTAAGTTTTCATTCATCCCAAATTGCATTTCAACAAAAAATCTAAGATGCGAAAACTTCAACAACCCGGAACAAAGGTGACCCCGCAAATAAAAACGATTGACACAGAATTCGTCCTACTGCAGATTTCGTCCTATTTATTTAATTGACAGATTTCGTCCCATATCCAAATTTGTGGGACAAAATCTGTATACGCTTTGAAATGGGACGATATCTGTTGAAATTAAAATGGGACGAAATCTGTCATGGGACGAAATCAGTCACAGCCAAACAAAACACCATTTACCTGCCTTTAAATTAGCAACCTTTCGAAGAATTCACTTACCTTTCGAGCAACTCCAAGCATTATTTAACATTTACTAGGAAAGAAATTCGTTGTTCCAAATTTAAGAGAAAATTTAAGCACCGCGAGGATGGTTTATTGAAGCTAATTCAATTAACCTTTGCGAAAACGTAGAATTTACCTAAGCCAAAATGGACAACATGAGACGCAAAGCTTTGCAACATTTACCTCTTTTTTCGGTCACCAACTCGTCCGACAACCGCGCGGCAGGAAATACAGTTTTGCTACCACTTGCACCTGAGACGTCTTTCTTTTCCGACACACTCGACGACTTACCTGGCTCCTCTTCGGCACAACTGGACGCCGCACTTGAACTCGAACTGTGTCCAAACGAGTTCAAAACATCCAACTCGCCCCAACCCAATCTCGTTTTTTGTTTATTCTGTTTATTTTTCTTTTTCTTCTGTTGATTATGACCTGCAGGCGTAGATGTTGTTGGATTGTCCCCGGGCTTTTTATCTCCGATTTGGTAGAAGTAAGTCTGCTGAAAACCACTGCCAGATTCGACGTGGCTTCCAGAAGAAACCATCGAATCATTAGCAGCGGTTACAAACGACTCATTAGCTGATGATTCTGATTCCTCGGGAAGGTAGTCTGATATTTTAGTAATCATGTTGATACTACACAAAAGTTGTCGGGTTCCTTTTTCCGAGATATGCAGATTATCATATGTGAAATTAGCTCCAATCTTATTTCCCCATTTGTCGTAGGCAACTGACTTGTTGCTGATGAATGTTAACAAAGAGTCTTTTTGGCACAGGTTACAAATCTCGCTGTTTAAATTCGAAACCCATTGGTTACAATATGTTTTATCGAAACGAGCAACAATTGCTGATAAATAAAGTTTAGCATTCGGTGCTCTTTTTTTACATTTTTCAACCAGAGCTCGGTATTTTTCAGCTTGCTCGCTAACATTGCACATGTTATTACATCCGTGCGTATTATTCACCCCGATATGAATAATCAATCTTTTCAGCTGCTCCAACGAAAGCACCGAGATAATGTAATCGAGTTGCTCGATCGTACACCCTCCCAAAGATTGCACGTACACGTTTCCATTGAGGATTGAAGGGTCAACGTATCGCAGAATTGAATCACCTATCACTAAAGTATCACATCCGAATAAGGCATTTTCACGCATGTAAGCAACATCGGCTGAAAATTTATCTCGGATTTTGATGAAGGTTGAAAACAATTTGTCAACATCTTTGCATGTCACACATGAATTGTAGTTTTCAGCTTCTTGCTTTTTCGGAAATTCAACTTCATAAAATACGACAGCTTTGGATGGACTTTCACTTTCCAATCGCAAACCAAAAGGAGAAAACAAAGTTTCGTTTATGACAGAAAAAGGTTGCGAAGTTTTCAATTCGATCAATGAAATTTCAAATCTTCCATTCACAATTGCCTTGAGAACGCAAGATTGTTGATTATCCGAAATTTCTTTGGGAATCTGAGCGGCTAATTTTAAAATTTTTACCGATTGGACAGATTCCGCGCTAAAGTCAACTGTCGAAGTTTCTCCATTGTTCAAAATCAAATAGCGTTCAAAACTAGTTTGTGAAACATTCTCTAGCTTAGTCGCATGAATCAAAACTTTGATTTCAATTTCGGTCAAAACCGAACCGCTTTTAGCAGCTTGTTCACAAGCCTCATTGGACTCAGAATCGTAATGATTTCCCAGGCCATTAGAATTTTTAAAAACTTCAACTTCGCTCAAACTGAATTCAAAAGACGCTCCTTTTGGCACATTTAAGCCTACATCTGAACAAATGTTATCCGACGAAAATTCAGCAACGCAAAACTTCTCATTGTCTGCGGGAAATGTAAGGAAAAGCAAACCATGAAAGCGTCGTGAATTATTTTGACTGCCATGAGAGATTTTATCCAGCACAACTTGGCAGTTTGATAGTTTAGAATCAAAAACTAAAGAATTGAAATCTGAGTTCAACGTCGCTTTGCACGCTTGAATGACGGAAAACTTTTTGCAGTCAGATATTACGTTTCGAGGTAAATTATCGATTCCATGGCACAAAACCGATAAAGTTACTTGGCCGACAAAGTTATCAATTTGATCTTTATTCGAATCATTGTCGTGCTCGACGTCATTTCTGTCTAATCTGTCAATGATTGAAAGTTTCAAAGAGAAATTCCCATGACACGAGATGCCAAGTACGGTAGACAAACAATTTTCTCCGAACTTTTGGAGCATGCATGTTTCACCTGTTTCCAAAACCAGGTACAAGCCAAACTCGAGGTTCTGAATGACGGCTTCTACTGGAATAGATAAACTACAGCGAGTAAGCTGAGCTCCTCCAAAACCTGGGAAGTGAAACTTTAAGTTCACTGTGTTGCGCTTCAGGGGTGTTACAGTTAAGACTCGGCTCATTGCAAAAGTATCTGAAAAAATTAAGAAATGATGGCTTTCAAAAACACTTCGGTGCAGTCTCAACTCTAATATTAATTTTTATGGCTGTTTTCACACAAGCTAGCTTAACAAAACCAAATAAAAAACGTTTCGCCTAGTTTATGCGTGAAGCTATGCAGTAATTAGCAGTTCGAGATATTTCAAAGGTGGTTATAGACCGAAACGACCTACCAAACATGGTTTCTTCCTCTGTAACCGAAGTCTAAAATGGTGAAACACTGGAGCATTACACAAAATCAGGCTAAATGCACAAAAACACACATTAATCTTCTCCACCCTGGCAATGATTTTAAACCATAGTCGCATGAATAAAGGTAACTTCTTGGCCGTTTTATCTCATAACAAAGGACTTCTTGAAAAATAATGGAATAGCTCGCATAGATCAATTATGATAGCACTCTTTCCATTCAAAGTTAAGTTGGAAAACTGACCGAATCCAATTATTATAAAAAATTTCTGACTCTTTCAAAAGGATACTTTCAACCATGTTCAAATAAAACGGCATCTAAGATTCCTTCCTTAATCAGAAAATGACTGAGAAATTTGATTTCTTATTATCAAAACTAGAATGCAGTAAAGGAATGCTTTGCTCAATTTAGTCTGCATTTACAAATATAATATATGACATTTCGCCAACAAGCGCTGACTCTGACAAAACTTCTTGGCATATTTTGGCCAAGCCTTAGCCATTCAATAGCCATGTCTAAAAGAACTGTTTTGTTTAGAATTTTCTTGAAAATCCGAATTACGAAACGAATGCAAAGAGCGATAAAGTTCGAATCGCTTGGGTGAATTTCACTTTTTAGCCTTAAAACATCAGAAAACCATGTAATTATAAATCAGTAACAAATATCAACTGGTTATAAATACATCAAGAGAACATCTTAAAAGCATTTAGGCTAGTCAAGTGATGTCTCTAATTGTTGTTCTTTCATAAACTTTAATGCACAGGCGAAGCTTTTCTTGCAAATACGAATCAGAAAACCGCAATAATTAGCTACAAAGAAGAAAAAACAAGGAAAGAAAAGGCAAAAACAAGCTTTAATAATCATGATAAATTGTTTCCAAGTGAAGTCAGCAGACGTACAGAATTACAAATGAAAATATCAATTTACAAAAACATCACTTCAGAGAGCACCGTAAGACTAAATTAAGCCTGTTTTCAGGCGTCTCAGTGAGAATTTTTTTGTAACATACGGTTTTTATGAGATGTTTCAGGAGCATTTATAGGTGTTCCGAATTTGTTCTATCAGTTCATGCGTAAGCGAAGACTCCATACTGTAAAATTGGCTGAACAAAAGTTTAATAGGCCAAAAGAAGCTTGTTTTTTTGCAAAATTTTTCTCAGTCTGTAAAACAGCTCACAGTACTGGCTTACGTTTTTCTTAAGAAATTATGTGGTGTCGAACGTTAAATTAAAGTAATTCCAATAACGTTCATCTAACTTTTGAGTTTTTCTATTTTTTCGCCATTAATTTTTGTATTTGTAGAATATTTATTAAATGATATTTTTAACAGTGTTAATTTATTGCTTGCTAACCAAATATTAGTTTCCTTTAGGACTTCCTGGTGATCTGCTTTTAGTCTATTTGATGAAGAGGTTGTGAGAAAGCTTTGAGAAACAAAAAAACTTGACATCAGTCGGAACCAAACCGCCAACCTGGAGATTAAATGTCCTCGTATCTGCGTCATGTGCTCATGAAAGAGCTAAATACTAGTCAACAGTAAAATTTACCGAACTCATGCTATAAAATTGCCGATGCCTGCAGCAAAAAAGCCGTAATAGAAAGATTCATAAGATAACGCTACGCCCACTGATTCGCATGTGTAAAAAGCTGTGAAACTACTGAGAACAATTCGTTTTACAATTCAAAAAACATCAGTTCATAATGAACATTTAGAAACCACTATTTAAATACTATTGAGAATTGATAGAAAAACTTACTTTCTGGAGATACTTCCAGTGATTCTGGAGTGATTTTTCAATATGAGAGATTATTTATTCTGAGGACTGATGCTCAAATATCAAAAATCTACACATAGGCAAACCAGAGCTTCGCATCACTTGCGATAAAAAACAATCATACAAAATATAAGAGGTAAAATAAATTGAAATGTTGAAAACTAGGTCTACCGAAATTTAAATTCAAAATCTATCAACGGGCTATCAAAATGCAAAAGTCTCGGAAGAGGTTCATTTCAGACAAAGATCGGACACATTTCAGTGTTAAGTAAGAACGTAATTCAAAAAGAGGAAGCAAAGCCAGCAGTCTTTCTTTGAGCAGACACAAGGATCCGAAAAAAAAATAATATAACAGTCGGGAAAACAGTGCGCCATTAAGCGACATGGCTTTCGCTTGCACTTACACATAGTTTGTTTCATGAAGTAAGCAACAACTTTCAAAGTGAGGCTCAGTTTCCAAAACTGCAGGCGGCGAAACAGCAAGCGCCAAAACCAGCTAATGATTCACACCAAGTCTGAATAAGATTTAACGAATTGAAGCAATAAAACGCCAATCTAAATCTTATTAAAATGCGGACTCGAAATTTAGAAGCGCGTTTATCTAAATTATAATACCTCAAATCCTTAAATTTTATTAAGACAATAAGTGAATAATTTTACAGAACACGCTTCACATTCACATAGCTTTTCGATATACATAGTGGACTGGACTCCAGAAAAAACGGATCAAAAATAAATAAGTGGACTCAGTGCAACTTTCACACTTGAGGACTCGACAGACGCTGCTCACCCATTTCAAAATTCTGCAATAAGGAGTTACAACATCCGCGATTCCGCACTGTATCCATATCACATTGTGAATCCGGAAGCTCACATTCAGAAGCTGGATCATGAGAGCGTGTACGATAAACATATCACTGGGGAAAATTTTGTCAAGCCCGGAGAGCATTCCGAAAAGAGTCGAGCACGCAAATTGTCTAATCTCTTTCCGTGTCGAGGTGTAAGTTATTCGCTTAATTTAGATTTTGCTCAGGAAAATACTATGTTTATGACAGCCAATTTTGCATGGGCGTGGCTTTCCTCTCATCCGCTCTGTGATGAAAAAAATTAACCGCGGAATTAGGTTCCTGCAATCTTGTTAGAACACTTCTATGAATTTAAAAAAAACTGCTGAGAACCCAAAAGATGCCATGTTGCAGACACTCATTTTGATAGAGTGGTACGAGTCCAATCGCAGAAGAGGCAGAAAAACTGGCACGAGCCCTCCAAGCTGATGAAGGGGTATCTTATGTGGTAGATAATGCTTGTCCTTAAGTACCGGCTCCAAATTTCTTGAAGATATTTGAAATTTTATTCTACTAAGTCTATTGGAAATCAGGCCATTTTTGGCTTGTTTTTATAGGGTTTTTCCTGTATTTTTGTCTTAAACATTGTTTTTTGAACTCGAAATAGTGCGTGCTACTTGCGCATAACCATTTTTTAAATTGTATTGACCTTCAAATTGTTGTCTGTAGATAAATTCATTTCTTCACTTGGACGTTTTGTCAGAATATCCCCAAACTTTCTATTAGTTTTTCCAACTCAATTTTCATAGCACGGAAAATATAAGATGTTGATATTTAAAAAGATTCTTTTGGTATGGGTCGGTTCTGCATATTAACAGCCTTGGTCACGCAAAACAAATTTCTGGTAACATATGTAGTTAGAGCGATACGACCCGAAGGAAATTCGGTCAAAATTTCCTCAATGCTGTGAGAAAAGTTATTTTTCAATCAAATTGTCATTTCCTAAAAAACAATTAGTTTCGTGCGGTAAAAAAAATGTTAACTTTCATGTCCAGACCTATAAAGCGAGTTTCTGTATAATTTATAAGCTAAGTGGACAAAAAATTGCTGAGTTGGAACATTTACAAATTGGGCTACGCTTTTCTGTTTTTGCACTTTTTGAGACTTTTGCCTCGAAACGCATGTTTTACTCAAATGAAACAAACTCTCTTCTAGTACAGACTTAAGTGGTCTGTGGTTGTCCTAGAGCAACATTAATGCCTGGCCTATTCCTTACGGGCCGTCTAAAAATGGCAAAGTTTGTTGGGGGGAAAGCAAAATTTGTACTTAAATTTTTGAATTTCCAAAGATGTTTGTGACTATGCCTAGTGTCTTTGGCCTGTATAATTGGTCTAGACCACAACTAAATCTTGGTAGGGCTATCGACAGGATGTTTTTCTGCAGCATATGTGCCTTTACTCGTTCTAGACTTTTACTTAAACCTATAAACCTATTTCTTTTGGTCTGTATAATAATACGCAAATAAAGAGCCCGGAGTGAGCCTGTCTTGGTACTGTCTTAGGCTAGCTACGGGCCTAAGCTTATGTTCTTCTTTTTGCAAACTTGTTTTTTACACTTGTTTTTCTCCGCGGTAAAAGTAAGCGGCATTGCAATTGATCTTTTTTCTGACTTCCTATTATTTTCAACGCAAAAAAATTGAAGGGAATAGGTTCCGTTTTCCAGCTTTATGTTTATCATTTTTCGAAGCTCTCTTTGCACCCAGTTAACAATACACAATCGAATAATTTTTTACACCAGTTTCTGTTGCTAAACTTTGTTCATAGAATATCAGGAGGTTAAGCTTCCCTTTCTAAAACAAAATTCTTTGTATTAAAAAATGGAATCAGCATCTATGAAGAACAGATATTTTCGGCTTTTGAAATTAATGATGGAAGCAAGTTGTTTCCAAAAAATCTCGAAAAAATAAATCTAGACCAAATCGTGAAATGGTAAAGACCATAGGATACTTCTACAGGATACTTTTGCAGTTCATCATTGGGATATTCTTTAACCTTAAAACTTAGTTCCTTGACACTTTGAGCTACACACTGATACTTTTGCAGTAATTTCTACGCCTGGAACGACAAAAATCCCGAGTTCAAATCCAGCCAGGACTTGTTTCCTTTTGCAAATTTTAAAAATCCGTTTGAAAAAAGTTGTCTGTTGTTTGTCAGCTTTTAGGTCAGATTAGTTGCCACAGCGCGGAGTTTTCAAGAGATGTAATTAAAATTACTAGTTTAAATTCGGATTGATGTATTGTGTTATTTAGAACATGCAGCCGTTAAAGGTAGTGAACCCTTCTAGATCTACTGTATTCTGGAAATTTGTGATTTCTTTGTTTTGCTGAATTATACTTTTTGTAAACTTAACTGCATAGCAATGAGTTGCTTTCAATTCTTGATGGATAATTATTTGAACATCTTGCTTTATATCTTGCTAATAATTTGAAAATCCTATCAAGAATTAAATATTTTGACCACTGAGGGATTTGAACACCCAGACTTCTGTGGAAATTTTTAGAGCTAATATATTATAGATGCTACTATATTTTTAAACGCAACGCTAAATGCGCTATGGTCAAGTATTTTTAAAAAGAGCTCAAAAAGTCATTTATAGCGACGTACAAATTTTTTTTCAAAATTGGGTCCTTATAGTACTTTTCTGAGATCGTAAAACCCAATTGATCGACCTAAAAAAGGTCGTTAACATTTTCAATTTATTTTTCGATTACCGCCCCTCCATCCCGTGCCCCCCCCCCCAAGAAAAATTTCTGCGCACACCACTGCAGAAATCAAAGACATTTTTAAGACAAAATAACAGAAAAGTTTTAAGAGGAAAGAGAAGAATATTTGGCCTCCTAAACCTCTTCATGGGAAGTTATCAGTCTAATCCAAAAAGTAGCAATTCCAGCCTAAAACATGATCTTCTATTTCTTTGGTTTTCGAGGCATCACAATTTTTATGAAGCTTTTTAATTCAAATTTTCACTGCTCTATTCTTCGGATTTGATTGTTGCAGAGTCGCTTGCCGAGTTTTTTTTAGTAATATAAGTCTGTGTCATAGGAAAAGTAGAGAACGCATTTCTTCGAGAAAGTTTTCGCGCTTCTTTTTTATATTAAATTAATTTTAAAGTACTAATGCTGTTGATTACTTAAAAACTTAAAACCTTATTTGTGCTCTCATCAAGGGTAGGTTCTCAGTCGGCGTAGCTTCTGCTTTGAGTCGATACTTGATTATTGTAGCATTTTGATTGTAATAAATTGGTTCCTTCATTCTTTTTTGCCTCGAACGCACATTAATTTCGACCGTATTTCTTCAAAATTGGACTTATTCGTAAATTTAGCAAACAGCGACAAATCGAAAAAAGGCACAAGCGTCATTTTATGCAGTTAATTCGTCAAAAATAGAAACAAAATTTTGCCATCGAGTAAGGCTGCGTTTCATTTCAGCAGTGAACATAATAAATCGTCATTAACTGGCAGATGCTAATCTAATTAAAGCACAATAATTGTGATTTCATCTGTACAAATAAAAGTTACTTTTTGATTTATTAATTAATACTCATGGTAAGCGCTTAGTTAATTCAGAGAAGGGTGCATATCGCCATTTTCCTCATTTTTCTGTAACTTCGGTTTTCTTTTCGAAGGAGGAACCAGATGTTCCGGCAACTGTGTCGGGAGCGCTTTCTCTTCTAATGCCACGTTATGAATCAAATGCATCATCAAAGCGAACTCCTCGTAATCCAGACACCCGTCTTTATCAATATCTGACATTTGCCAGATTTTAGCCAAGGTCGAATTTGGCAGCTTTGTTCTCACGAAATGAGGTTTTACTTTCCTGCCTTCCAATTTTCCATTTTCATTCGGAAGTAGCTCTTCGAACTCTTTCGTCCATTTCTCTTTCTCTTCGTCAACAACCCAGCCCGCTTCACCTTTACCTTTGTTCGCACCTTCTCCGAAATCCTCGTCAAAAGGCGATGTCTCTTGCACTGCAAATATTCCGCCCTCAATTTGTTTCGAGTTATTTTTCAACTCCTCTTGATTGATTCTCTGCATTAACGGAGGAATATCCCTTGTCAGCAAAAACTGAACCGTATCCACCAAATCTTTCTTGAACTTAGGAAGTTTTCCAATATCTTGAGATGCCAATGCTTGTTTCATGTATTCCAATTCCGGGAAATCACCCAACGAAATATTATGCTGCTTGTGGATCTGATTGTAGATTTCCGCCAATCTGTCGACAATTTTCTTCTTGGCACTGGCCCCCGTGAACATTCCGGTCTCACTTCGGACAGCTTGTAGGATATAAGCGTGCACCTGGGCTAACTTTGCTCGTTTTATCAAGTCATTTAGCAGTCTCACTGCATATGTTTTCGGTAAGCTCTGCAGATCTCGGAACAAATCTGCCTTTTCAAGCTCAAACAAGTTGCGGTTTTCTTCATTTTTTAAACTGTTGCTCCAAAATGAACCTGTGTATACGCGTACCACTTCAGGGGTGTCAAAAACTTTTGCAAGGGACCACAATAAAGCACCGTACACTCTCATCAACTGTTGCGTATTAACTTGATCAGCCTTGTTCAAAACAATTCTGATTTTCTCCTCATTACCTTTCAGAGCCTGAATAGACATCCGTAACTCATCTGATATGTCAAGTTTATGAGCATCAAATAAGATTATAATTCGGTCTACTCTTTCGGCAAACCATTCCAGCACACCAATAAAGTCATAGCCTCTGGCCATTTGCTTAGCTCCAGACAAAATTCCAGGCGTATCAACTAACGTAACGTGTTTCAAGACTTCAGAATCCAAACCAGCACCTTGAAATCTGTTCAAAAAATTCACTCCAAATTTCGATAGACCTCCGTATGGTTTTGAGGGGTCTACAACCAAAGCGTTTCCAGGGATTAAGGCATCTATTTCATTGTGTTCCAGAACCATAAATCCATCTGTTGTCGGTTCAGGGCCAATCCTCATTCCAGGAAAATCTCGCTCGACAAGGTAGCGTAGAAACGTTGTTTTACCTGTGGAGTATTGGCCAATGAGAAGCACCATGGGTCGTGATAAGAAGTGTGCATCATCAAGAAGTGGTGAGTGGAACTCCTGGAATCTGCTGTACTCTTCCAGAGGGAACAATTTGGTGCGGTACAGCTTCGCCAAATTGTGCGTTATGCTGACCAAACTCTCGTCCTGTGCTGGTTGCTTCTTCATCCAGTTCAGCATGATCAGAACTCAACTGAAAACGAATAAACCATTGTCGGTTTTGCTTCGAACTCCAATATACTACAATCGAACTTGAATCTGTTTCTGCAATAATGATTCTAGTCTCGAATTTAGTTAATAAAACAGGTCTTTAAAGAATGAGATAAAATTTTCTATTCAACTAAAGGCTCTACAGAATCACTGATACCAGACAAAAGAGACTTCATATTTCGAAACTATAAATATAAACGAAGTTCTGCCAAACTGTGTTCAACTGATTAGAGTTTAATGTTAGAATTGGTATAAGAGATTTGATTTGTGTAATAGCAAACACAGATTTGGGCTCGCATAACAATTCAGGCAAGCGACCGAACAAACTCTATAAACACCAAGTTCAGTTTCTTCCATGTACAAAACAAACTTATATGAATCATATACAAGTCCGCCTAGTTCTGAAATGACTAAGGATGCCGAAAACGTATGAAAAGGATATTGTACACGTATGAAAAAACAGAAACAAAACATCACAACTCCGCACCTTGGTTCAAAATTAGCAATTAATTAGTTGGCATATAATTTTACTGCCTTCAAAGCACTCACTGTTTCGAAATATATGGATAAGTTTTTCAGGAGTTGGAAAAAATATATACTTTTTTCAAAAAAAATGATGCTTAAAAAAGAACGCAAAAATCGGAAAAATTAGAATAAACAGCAACATACCGCACAATCATTATCACCACAGATTGGACAAAAAACTGGTGGCGCAATTTCGGCGAAAGAAAACCGCAAGTAAAAGCTTTTGAAACTGAACAAATTCTGTAACCAAATAGCCAGACGAGTGTCTAAATATATGTATAAATGACTTACTAATCTATTTCCACGAAAGATATGACCACAAAAAAACCGTATTCAAATCTCTAATCAAAGTCGAATCAAGCACCTAACTAACTTGAGAGCTACATTAGTTTTTTTAAATGTTTTTTAGGGCAATTTTTCATGGTCAATTTATGGCATAGTTGGATCCCAGCTATCTGCCGTACTCAACATTACTCGTGTTATCAGTTCTGTGATGCTTTCATTTTCAGTTACTCCTCCTAAAATAACTGTGGTCGGTAAATCGGGGATATCCGAGGGTGCTACCAGCACACCTTCGATTTCCATGATGTCATTACTAGCCGCATTGGAGTCGTCACTCGATGACGAAACAAGAGGTACGGATGCCCCAACTTCTACTATGGTTGCTCGAGATGTCGAAGGAGGAGTTGGAGTCTCAGATGGTTGTTCACGCCTACGGGTTGTATTCCGTCTGCTATCTAGTGGTTCTAATTGAACAAAGCCCTGAAACATTTAAGATTGGCAAATGAGAAAACGCAGTGCTAAGTTTGCTTTTTTAAACAACTTTTACAAAACCACTCACTTCTAAGGTCATTACTCTATCGACATCTTGAGCACTTGAGGGTGCATCAGGTCTGCGTGCAGTAAGCCGCCTAGTTTCACTTCTATTTTCTGAATCGGCATCCTAACAAAAATAAAAAGTCAGCATAAGTTACACGAAATACACTATGTCCTAAAAAATTTCTAGGATACAAAATTGTGCGAGACTAGATTCATACCTTGAAAAATATGATTTAAAGAAAACGATTAACAGATAGCTGGCGATTGTTATTGGCTGAAATAGAGATATATCAGAATAAGACATATTATACTGTTAAAAGTTATACGATTTTTCATCATACGTCAATATCCAGACTTCAGCCGTAAATACATTTGACAAGCATACTCAAAGGAGGAGTCGAACCGCGAAAAATCAATCTTGAGAGTGAACAACTTCAACAATTTTTCCCCCAAAAAAAACGACTTGCTTGAGTGCTTGAGTGATATATCTATTATGGTAAGTTCTGGCATTATTGGATTGATGCCAGAAAAACTGCAAATATGCTACAAAAATTTGCTTTTATGGCGAAAGATAAGCGGAGGAGAGCGAAACGAATATCGTGTTGATGCATAAAAATTTGATGAAATTTTTGAATAAAAATATATTTTAAACCAGCTTTTGATAACAAGTTCTGGGGACAATGAGACGGGTCTGATCCATACAGTGAATTTAATCAGCAATTCTGAGAGACAGTACAGCAAAAAATATTTATGAGGGCAGTATGTTTGCCGCCTAAATTGTTCAATTACCCGCTAAAATGACTTCTTTTTTTTGGCTCAATAATTAGTTCTCTGTCTAGATCGGACCCGTCTGCTTAAAGCTTCTAGTTCACCCAAGTTCTTAAAGCTTCTATTAGATCTAACCTTAAGCCGAAAAAAAACCCAATCCAATTTTTCGCGTTTTTGCGTCAGGGCTAGGAAATTTACAGATCACAGGATTAGATCGACAACTTGCATCAACAATTAAAACTGCTGACAGCACAAAAACCATGATGTGCCACCTAAGGCGACAAAACACAAGCAAACAAACGAAAGTCAGTTAAATCAGTTTTCTCGGAAAAAATTTCAATTTCAAACGTACTGGAAAAAAAAACAAGATCCGGTCGGGACTCGAACCTCAGGGTGCAGAGGGAACCGCATTACCTCTAGAACAAGTAAGACGGAGGAGCCTGGAAATTTTAAGGTTCAATAATAGAGCAAGCAGCTTAATTTCGTACAGATTTGTAAAAAAAAAATTGTTCAAGGATAAAAATCTAGATGCGTAACAAACAGATAAACAATAAGAAAAAAACTCGGTCAATTGATCGAAAAAAATTCTTAACTAAATTCAAAAGCTTTGCATAAAATCAAACAATCAGACAACCTACATGTCCCACAGTTAAACTTCAGGATAACAAAAGGCTCTATCCGTAGTTTACTCTAAAGTAAGATTAAAATGAAAAACGAAATTGAAAAACAAAAACTTCATTAAAAAACAACTGCAAAGTTTAAAAAAAAAGTCACAGAAAACTTGCAGAAAATCTATGAAAACTTTAAAACTATAAAAAGATCCGAAAGACATCAAACTTATCAAATACGAATAATTGATAAGAACGATTGCAACAAAAAATACGCCGGTTAATGAAACAAAAACAAAATAACAATTCTTTATTTTTCAAAAATTTCAACCGTAAAGAACCGAATGTTTGAATGTCGTTCGACACTCGCCAGATTTTTTTTGTACACGAAAGAGTCATATCAGGAAAATTAAGATTTTATTAAAAAATTCATTAATTTTTGTTCGAAATAATGAATTTGTTTTCGAAAAGTTTTGATATATTAAAACAATACGCTATTATTTCGATTTAAAATTAAATTTTATAAACCATAAGAACTAAAAACTACATAAAACTGAGACTAGCTCCAAAAAAAATTTATTACGACAACAATCAAAAACGAAAATTCCGAAAAATTGAAAAAGGCAAAGCTGCGCTTTGCAATCACAAGCATAGGAATAGCAAAAAAGAGCTCTAGGCAGGCAAAACAAAGTGAAATAATGAAAAGATTGAAATAACACCTTGAGAAAAGTTTTTTAATGAGATTAGGAGTATCGCGTTCTCACATCTGCTCCATGACCGCTTGCAATTTTACAAAACAATAGCCACCAATCAAGCAGCTACAGTTTCCATCAAATTGACATTGCTACGCAGCAAACAATTCGACCAAAAGAAAAAAACCACTGCAATGAACCGGATTTGAATCTCCGACATGTTTATTAGGAGTATCGCGTTCTCGCATCTGCGCCACGGTTGCTTCGAAGCAATCTAGTGGCTCAGCTAATGCAGGATCCACCTGTTTTATTATTTTTAACCTCAAATTGTACTGATACGGAAATGCGTAATTTTCAAAACATGGACTCTACACAAAATCTAAGTGATTTCTCTGCAGAAGTCACGGATTAGCCAGTTATTTAAAGGAGAAACATACTACTCTTTTTCGATTAGTCTTTATCTCAAATTTGGCTGGGATTCAAAAAATTGACTTCAAAAAATTTAACTTTTCCTAAATCCAAACACTTCGGAAATTTGAATTTCAATTTAAGCATGGGAATAGCCTCTTATTCAGGGAAGATGATCAAACTCTGATTTACAATTTGAACACTTGGTATCAGATTTAGGTAAAAGTTTTCCAGAATACTGATGAAATTTCCGACAAAACGCAAGAATTTCAAAAAAATGATATTTTTTTCCGAAATCCATACGAGCTTTTCCACAAATAAATTGGCAGATTGAGTGGGGAAAACCTAACTACCATGTTAGTTTGAATAAACTATCAACCTCAGAATCAACAAGTTAGTTTTTGAAAAAAAAGAATAAACTTCAAAAAAACAGGCGAAAATTCGAAAAAAGGCCATTGTCTTAGGCCATATATTCTCCAAAACGCAGATCATAGCCAATTGCGCAGTGGAGATTCGTATATCTGATTGTTTTACTTGCGGTTAGCCTCTTAATCTCCGATTTAGCAGGGTAGTTTTTGAGATGTTTTATAAATTAACAAAAATGTCAAAATAACGAAATGGGCTTGTTTGACACCCTAAAATTTTTCCACCAAATTTTGGGAACAGCCGCTTGAAAAGCCGTAGAACGTGTGGTAAAATTAAAAGAGACTAGCATAAAATGCAGGCACATAGAAAAGCAGCCGGTTTTTCCATTGGTACCTTTTTTGAAAATTGGTACAGTACTTTTCGAGAAAAACTGAAAGTTCTGCGAAAAGTGCATTAATTTTCGAAAGCGTCGCAAAAAAAAACAACCAAAAACAACAAAGCCAATACATTTTTAAATACCTCTTTTTTTCAAACGACCTATCACTAGCCAAAATACCCGCAGCAACATATGCTTTTTGAATTGCTTAAGCGTAAAAAAGCTTAAATAAGATTAAACTGAAATATACCAAACTTGCCACCAAATGGGAACTTTTATTTGCGAATTGTTAGAAAACAATTCGCGGTAAAATACACTTCGCTTCGCTTGTGTAATTATGTTTTTCAGTTTTTCATGAAAATTTTGGCGGGTAAAAGTATTAGCAAATCGTGATTTACATTTACCCTCTTGAAAAAGAAACGAAGGTGTTCAATAATTGAAGGAAAAAATTATCAATTTCTTGAAAAAAAGAGCATAAAGGGCAATAAATTTGGTCGAAAAATTATTCAAAAAATTTTAAAAATTAAGTTGTAAACTTACAACTGTAATTTCGAAAAGTTATTTGGCCGGCTAAACCTCCATAAATAACATTCATATGAGCGATGTATTTGGCTGGTAAAAACGAAGCGCAAACTAAGCCGACAAAAGTAAACGAAAACGACGAAGTCGAAAATTCCAAAAAAAAACAAACCAAAAAAATATCATTAAAAAATTTGATCATAGCTAATCAAAGATTGGAAAAGAGTAATGAACGCAAGTAAGCATAAAAAAAGACAGACTTTGTTGAAAAAATCTCAACTTTCGAAGAAAATATTAAATCCCCTTTCTGCTCTTTGAATATCTAGAGCGATTGATGATTGGCGCTTTTTTGATGACATTAACCCAATTTGAGAAAACTGGATCAAAAGGTTTAATTTTTATTTCGCTGGGAAACCTGATAATTAAACTCCACTTTCGAAGCTAGAAATCGTTCACGTTTTTTTTTCGCGCCATTTCCACGTCTTATTTGGATAGTGCTATTTACATCACTTTCAGCAGATGAAATTCAATTGAACTCAAAAAGTGCATATATACATAAGTGCATCAATATTTTAAGACTTTTTCCTGAAAAAAAAATCAGCAAGATTTGTTTTTTTCCCCGTAAACAACGTTCATTACAACGTTCATTATTTCATACTAAGCAACGTAATTCACTGCGTTCATTACTCTTAAACAGCGAATTTATTGGTAAAACACTAACAAAGATGCACAGTGAGAGTAATAGATAAAAAATTAAAATATTGAGCTGCAAACTGACGCACATACTGCAGGCATGCCGTGTACCGCATGAATTTTGAAATCTGTGAACAAAGTTGTTTAGGGGAAAAACAAAATCTGGTACCCGATTGCAATAACAATTAATAATCCGCTTTTTCATAACTAGAGAAAATGGGCTCAATGGAGAATTATTATTCCGTTGGGAAACCTGAAATGTACAATAACCTTTCCAAGAAAAGAGTCTTTCAAGTTCTTTCGCCCCATTGCCGCTTTCTTAATTGGATTGCGTAATTTGTTTTCTTTTCAGCCAATGAAAAAAACTGAACTTCAAAAAACGGTTCGAAGCGGATTTAATTTGCTACCGATTTTAAGAAGAGCTGCTTACGATAAAAAAAGTCTAGTTCTAGTTTACAAAGTACTTGCTCTCGCCAAGTTTAAACTAAATTCAAACTGCATAAGATCCTATTTGGAATGTATTATTAACCACAGGCCAAGCTCCCACCTTTCAATTTTTGGTCCTTTAATTCCGTGGGGGAGAGATTTAATTCATTTAACCGCAGCCGGTCCCACCTTGAGACGGCGGATGACACTGGGACCTCTCCAGCCATGACCGAAGCGGTATTCGAACCCATAAAAGCCACATTTGGCGTGATCAAATTTTAAAAAATTTCCCGAAAAAAGTCATCACAAACTGTATAAGTGTTTTCACTACGATCGCCGACATTTAATAAAAACTTCGCCAACAACTGGACTCGGACTCAAACCTTTCTCCCGAGTCACTTGCCTTAGCCACTAAGACATGCTTCTTGGTTCCTACTGCTTACACGATAGATCTCTATTTGCAATTTAATAGCGTTATAAATTTCGACCGAAAAAGTGTAAATTGCATTGTAAAAAACTAGGACTGATCTTATAACACTACACTAGCAAGTTAAAAAATTAAAATGGAGAGTAAAACGGTTAACGAAAAAATCAAATGGTTAAGTCAACGTGCTCGGAGATTTTCTCATCGCAATGGATGAATCTTGTTCAGAACAATTATTCTCCCGAGCTGGAAACTAAACCAACCCTTCGTGGCAGACGAAAACTAGGTACATGGAAAGCCCGATGCAAATGTCTCAACAATTCATTGGTTGCATCAATCGTCCGATTCTCATTAGCTTCATTTGGCCGCTGTTCCTGGTCCGAACCAAACAGAACGCTCAACGGCCTCATTGCACGGGCTTCAAATCTGGGCGCAATAGAGAATGCACTCCGAGACTCGTTGAACCTCCTATGAACTGTTTGGAAAACTCTTTTGTACTTTTCAACGAACTCCACAAGTGTCATTTCTTCCTGCGATATCATCTCGCATGTTAGTCTTGTTCGATCGCAATCCAGGGATTCGCGTAAAGATGGCGATGCACACTTGTAGAATGCTGAAAGAATTGTTTCAAGCGCCAGGTCCAAAATAAGCTTGGTCGGCTCGGTTCTAAATAAAACACGTAACATAAGATAACTTAATATAATTAATTATCAAATAGTCGAACTAAACGACAGTTCAAAAGTAAAGGATCTTATGAACTTTGCCTTAATTTCTTTATTTGGACATTGACAACAGACAAAGAGATCGAATATTCCCAACTTTGTTCTAAAAGTTCAAAAAAGGACTACCCAGAATGAACTCATCTTCAAGCACAGTGAACATATCTACATAAAGGATGTTTCTGTCTTTTTAATTGATTATTAGTATGAAACTACTGAATGGAAACAAGTCTGGAATTTTGTACTGAGGTTCAATAGGAGAGGGAACATTTACTTTACAATGAAAGTAAATGTAGGACAGAGCTGGATTCAAATTCTACATTTTCCTTAATTTTTGGGTTAATGACATTTCAGCTATTTTGTTATTAGGACCTTTATATAACACAACAGGAAAGCCCTCTTTTGTAATCAGAATCTATTATTTCAATTTCAAACTTTTTTCATTTTTCGAAACTTGGATGACCGTCTAAAAAAAGGAATTTTCATTTTTCTCATCATCAAAAAAACGTGCCGAACGGTTTAGCCAATGAGCCACATACCATGGGCACCAATATAAAGGACTTATTCTCCAAAACCGAAAGAGCTACTGAAGTAGAGATTCAGTAACTGAAAAAAAAATCCATTTTGGTGTCGCCGGAAACGGCCAAAAACTACCAAAACCCATCTTCAAATCAGCGCAGAGTTTTCTCAGAATTTTACATAATCTAAAAAAGGTAAATTGGGTAAAAAAGGCCAAACTTCATGTACGTAAGGGAACCTCAAAGCCCGCACTTTGTGTTTTTCAGCGTCATGGATTTGTGGGCAAGGGGTTTTGAACTGGCTGCAAACAAAATTCTTTGCACTGTTACAAAGCAGAAATTCCAGCACACCCTGGCGAGCGAAAAATCCCGACCTTAGCGAAACCTGACTGACCTAATCAAATGTGAGCCAGAACGGAACTCATTTTCTGTATTTGCTCAAATTAAATGTTACACTTATTCTCATTTTCAAAAAAAAATTCATTCAAAGAAGAAAAGTTGCACTTTGCAAACACAACAAAAATGACAATTTGGGGCATTCAAATTACAAAAAACTGCAAAAAAGTAAGCACTTGCTATCAGCCAAATACCAATCACTAATCTACTAACTGGTATTTAGTAAAGACCAGCTACACAGACTGCGATTTGGCAATTTGGAGAAAATCGAACCAAATTCTGCTACTTAGGTTTGAAAAAGTGAATTGGTAAAATAATACAATCGTTTGGCTGTGTACAGAAAAAACATGTCAAGGTGCAAGAAATCATTTCGTAAATCCTATTCGTTACAAACTTAATGTGAAAAAAACGACAAACCCACAGAAAGACCCCAGAAAACAGGACCTACTTGACATGAAAACCGGTATTAAATTCCGTGAAGCCACAATTTGTAAAAGACGACAGTTCGTAACAGGTGATAATTCATAACAGGCGACAATTCGTAACAGGCGTAAAATTCTACGAAATGTCGCTTGTTACGAATTGTCACGCTACCATAAAGATCATTTCGGGCCATTTTCTAATAAAAATTTTGAAACCATCAGAATGAACACAACTTCCAACGTGGATAAATTCCGACCATGGTCTTTAAAAAACGCAGATTTTATCTTTCAAATTACTCTTGTCTCTTCTGCTTGGTGTAATAAAACGAATTAACACAAAACTACTCAAAAAACTTAGGCATATTCGACAGTCATCGAAAAACAGGCAAACTAGACAATAGTTTTTGAAGAACAATGACTAGAAAAACAAAACTCATATTTAAAAAAATCAAAAAACAAAATTCAAAACTTTTTTCTATTTTTTCAGAAATTTAGTTTTTGAATCTTCAAATTAAATTTTTTTAATTAATTAAAAATTCCAGCGGACTTATCAATGACATTTACAGCAATTCATTTATATAATCAATACACTTTTGTCCGCCTAGGACCAACGCTAGGCACAAAACCCTTACGATGTTGGCCCTAGATTACCAAGTAAGTAATAAAGTTAGCTCAAATTAATCATTTAGCAACAAAAAAGATGGAAAGTTTTAAATTTTTATGAATGATTTTTCAATTAATGTTTTTTAAATCAAATCTTTTATGATTTAAGTCTTAATACTCTCGAACTATCACGGGATGTTCGAATGGTGGGTTAAGAAACAGTGTACAAAAACATCTGTATCTATTATTTTAAATTTTTTTTTACATTTTCACAAAATTTCCACAGGGGAGCTTATATAGGGGCAGGGACCAAACCAACTGAGACTAAACAAATAGCGTTAATAAAACTCCAAAAACTAATTGCATTTATTAAAATTTAAAAATAAGCACAAATAAGCTATAGTAAACGGGCTAAATTAAGCATAAATAAGCATGCTTGCTCGCTTTACTCGTTCGAAATTAAATCAAAAATTTCAAATTGTTTTTTTTTGACACAAGAAAAAAAATTGAACTTTTTAAGGTCGTTCGAATTACGACTGAAATGGCTTTAATTTGATATATCACTCGACCCATTCCAATGATTATTTGTGGTACCTGATTTTGAATGGAAAACAAAAAAACTAAAACACCTGAATACAAGTTCCTCAACATTTTCCGGAGCAAACTGTCGGAGCAAAATTGAGTTTTTTTCAATTGACTTCGGCTAGGCAGCTTAATCGGGATAACAAACTTGATCCTGATCTGTATTACACTTTTTTTACTCCTTTGCAACAAAAATTCCAGCTATTTTTCTTTAAATGAGATGTTTTTGGATGCAATTTAATCTCACCACTGGGATTCGTTTTAATTTTTTCCACCTTTTTGTTGCACGACTGGGGGTTTTTACTTTCTATGAACCGGAGGCTTTTAGATCTAACCTGCAGGATGGGCATGTCCTTTTCCTAATAAGCCACTTGCTAATGCAACTGTTACAAAACACATGATGGCATGGGTCCAACTTAACAGGCTTCTTCAAAAACAGCAGACACACTGAACATGTTACACTATCAGACAACAGTTCCATTTTGATCTCACGATTGGGCAACGAGTCGTCGAATCCGCCCAAACTCGTGCTGTTCTTCTTCGGCCTTTTGCTGTCCGCTTTCATGCTCGACTCAAACGCCTTCCGTGCTTCGTCTTCTTCCGCTTTTGCATCAAGTCGTCTCTTCTGACTTCTGGTTACAGCTGGCATGGTTTTACTCCTATTTGATAACCTAACTTCTTTTCTAAATAGTTGTCTCTCTTTATCAAAACTAATATCTGAAACTGAAACAAGACCGGTCTTTTTCCACTTCTCTCAACTAAGTCCGTTTTAAAAGGCTTTTTGTTCTCTCTATTGGGCTTAATTTCCGTGACGTAGTTTTTAACGCAGCTCTTCAAATTTCAAAACTGATTGAGCAAGGAAATTTTTGAACTCCACAGCACTATAGAATCTGAACATATATTTGATATACAAACATCAACAATTAAAAGCATATCAGCTAAAACACGACTAACTATGAGCATGAAACACTGGTCGGATGAAGATTTTCTGATTAAAAAATTACTGATTTTCTGACGTAAAACAACAAAAATGCACTTTCAAAATACTTTTCCCCAATAACCTCATTCTATCAGGCAGTTTTTAATTTCCTGTTTTCAAAAAAATATTCTGTAAAACTTAAGTTTTGTTCTGTAAAAAATTATTCTGTAAAATTTAAGTTTTGTTCTGTAAAAAACTATTCCGTAAAATTTAATTTTTGTTTTCATGAACTCTAATCTGACCAGCGATACAGCATGTTTTCAGAGTTTCATGGTCCACTCGATTCAATTTCCGGTATATTCGATGCACTAGATGGCGAAACTACCGAGCTATTCAAATCAGTCTCCACATTATTCGCACTTTCTTCATTGGCCGAGCCTACCACTGCTGGGGGATTGTTCACACTTCCACTATTACTAGTTACAGGTCGACATATTTGCTGGTACAATGCTACATCAGGTACTGTAGTTAACACATTGAAGGATAGATAGATGGGACAGATAGCATAACGGTCGATATCCATAATTAGAAGCTCCTCGTCTTTCCCCAATTCTTTGCACACAATTCCGCTCGTTTTGAAATATACTGCGTTGTAGTTTTCGTCGAAACTCAGAGCGCTTACACGGAGCATGATTTCACGTTTCTCTTGCATGCTGAGACTGAAACACAGGCAAAATGCCCACAATAATCAAAAAAGTGAATCACAAAACTTAACACAGAGGCGAAACCGAGCTTCGCACCACTAGCGATACAATACAAACATTAAAAAAACATAAGTCGAAAACAATTTTAGATGTTGAAAAAAAACTAGGTGATCCAAATTAATCTTAAGTCTCGATAAAAAACAATTACAGGCACAGTTAAAGCTCGAGGTACGTGTTTAAAATTGAATAAGTTTGCAATAATGATGCGGCACAAAAAGTTTGGTCTAAAAAATTGAACTTTGCCTAAAACATTAGTTGTTTCTCTACTAAAATAAGCGAGAAGAGTAAGAAAATTTGAGATACGGTCATAAGTTATAAAAAGCGGCCAAAAGACTTTCCAAAATCCATAACGTTTTTTCTGCAAAAAGCAGGTTATGGCAGCTTAAGGAGAGCAGATTCTCAAAGCCGGGTTTCTCGATTGTACACAACCTGAGAATTTTTTCGCCGACCCGGTAATTTTAGCTTAAAGTCTTTTTTTTTAAAAAAAAACTGGGCATAGCTCATTTGAAAGCTAGGCTTACAACAACCTGTTCATTCTATTCAACCTGTAATATCAGATTTGGCAGGATAGTTAGCGAGAAAAGTAAAAAGAGAAAACGGTCAACAAATCAAAAAAATTGACGATCCCAAGAATCATAGCTCTTTGTGTGAGAAAATTATTTAAAAAAAAACAAAATTCATAAGGGATTCACGCAATCTGCAATTTCGGTTGAACCCAAAATCTCAGGTTTGTGAGGGTTGTTTGGGAGGGATGAAGTCAAGGCAAAAAAATTACTTTCTAGTCAGGTAATGATATTGCTTTTGTGTTCAAGAAACGCAGTTTAAACACAGATTCGAAGCGGAGCTTCGCATCACTTGCGATACAACATTACCACGAAAAAAATAGAAGTCAAAAAGAAATGAAAACTAGCGCGTAACGCACCTCCAGTGCTTCAAATTTCCGCCAGCTCATAAAAACCGCATATACTGGAAAAAAAGATCTGCATCCTTCGAGTGAACTCTGACAGCCCCACTTTCAGAGTTGGTAATTTCAAATTTTGTAAAATTTTTTATATTCAACTTTTTCTTTTTTCAAAACTTTGAAGTTTTTTATATCTTAGTTCTTCGAAAAAATTTTAAATTACACAAAAGTCACATCTCGGAAAGTTAAAGTAATTGAGCAGTCAAACTTCGACGCAAGACTTGCAGCTCTTGAGAGTAATCTCAGTACCCAACTACAGCGTTGGAATTTGAAATTTTGAGAAACTTCAAATTTAGGTTTTCTAATTTTTTTTTTGAAAAACCATTTAAAAACGCCATATCTCGAAAACCACAAAGATTTGAGCAATCAAATTTGGAGACAAAATTGGAAACCCCCAGGAGTCCCCTTACAGAGCCTCGCTATAGGGATGATAACTTCAAATTTTGTGAAACTTTTTGTATCTGAACTCTTTGAACATTTAAAAAAAAGTCTTAACAAACGTCACATCTTGGAAACTAAGATCATTTGAGCAGTCGCATTTGGACGCAAAATTTGCAATTTAGAACTGCTGAGACTACCCTCACAGAACCCAACTACAAGTTTGCGAATTTCAATTTTTTTTGAAAAATTAAAAAGAAACCATAAAACATGTCATATCTCGAAAATTACAAGGATTTGAACAGTCAAATTTGGAGTTGAAAATTGCAATCCTTGAGAGTACTCTGATAGCACCCCTCTTCAGGGTTGAGAATTTCAAATTTTGTGAATTATTTTTTAATTTGAGTTTTCTAAACATTTTCTTAAAAATCACTCAAAATCGTCGTATCTCGTAAACTAAAAAGACTTGGGCAATCATTATTGACAGCCCTGACAGCACACTAGTATTAAGTTGCTGATTTTGAAATCCGTGAAATAAACACCAAATTGAAAATGGAAAATCTAAAAAATCTTAACCATTGCAATATACGATATAGCTTAAACGTGAAAAAATTCTTTTGTTGAACATGCAAAAATGTACGTTGAAAAAGCTTAAAATGGCGAGATGGTGAAGACCGCTTTTAAATAGATAATAGATTGATGAAAAAAATAAGCCAACCAAAATTTTTGTATGTTTCGATTGAAGTTCATTTTATGCAACCATGCCAAAACATTTGAATGAATATTAAATTATCAATGGAAGCTTTCAGCGGACAACAGTTGAGCCAAAAAAATCTGATCTTCTACAAAAATTGTTAGCCCCCCCCCTTTAAACTACAAAAAACAACAACACTTGCAATTATAATTATGACTGCTTTCAGGAAAAAAAAAATCCGCTATGAGGCAAATCAGCAGAAAAAAAAACTTGAGCAGACAAACAAAAGCCCGACAATTCAATTTATACCGGAAAAAGATTTCAATTTCAGACATACTAAAAAAAACAAGGAAAGGCCGTGACACAGACCTTAGGGTGCAAAGGCAGCCATATTACCTCTAGGCCAACGGGGAATGAGGCTTGAAGTTGTCAAGGCAGGTAAGAGAAGCAAGTAAGTTTTGTAAGAAAAGTTGTTAACGGGGAGAAAAGTCAAGCTCACGGCTACAAGATAAATGCTCTCGCAAAAGCAAATACAGAGGCGAAGGTTCGCTTCGCAAACACTAGCGAGAACACGACAAAACGACAAAAAGCAGCTCTATAAAGTGCAATAAGTAGGAATACGCATCGAATTAGTAAAACCTCGGCTACATCTCGGATTCGAACCTACTATATACTGCGACCTAGAGATTATGAGTCTCACGCAATAAACACTTAGTCACCGACTACCAAACACTAGCCTCACATATGGCAGAGAACAGATGCTATGTAATTTCATATAAACTAGGGGCCCAGCTGAAAGCTGGAGAGACCTGTTTGATTATTTTAATATTGATTATTTTAAAATTGTTTTAAAATTTCAGGTTTCTCAAGCCGATAGCGCCCTTCCTACGCAAAAAAAAGTGAAAGAGAAGCTTATGCATTCATTGGTAACGCTTTTGTCCAAGCATTGCAAATATGACTATAACATGTTGACTATAACTGACATCACAAAAACGTTCTGGAACAAACCGACCTGATTAAAAAGAACTAGCGTAACTCGTGCAACTTCTCGTTGGACTTCTTCGAACCATACAAAAAAACTCAACACAAAGCCAATAGCACCAAGCAAAAGCGAGAAAACGTAAGCATAGCAGATTCCATTGTCTAAAAAATACACACAATAAGTATATTGAATCTTTGTTCCAATGCCAAAAAACTTTAAAAAAAACTTTTCATAAGTGTACAGCTCTTCCCCGAGACAAATTAGAGACCAGCCGCTTGGGCAGGGGAGTTTCCTACAACCTGGTCTATCGATTGAACCCTTAATCCCATATCTGGATGGGTAGTTTTTGAAGAAATCGAAAAAGTTTGAAAAAAATGGCCTAAAAACCGAAAAATTGACTATTCCTAAGTGTATAGCTCTTCCCCTAGACAAATTAGGGACGAGCCGTTTGTGTAGGGGGGTTCCTACAACCTGGTCTATCGATTAAACCCTTAATCCCAAATCTTGACGGGTAGTTTTTGAGGAAATCGGAAAGATTTGAAAAAAGGCCAAAAAAAGTCAAAAAAGTGACTTTTCCTAAGTCTATAGCTCTTTCCCTAGGAAAGTTAAGGACCAGCCGCTTGTGCGAGGGAGTTTCCTACAACCTGGTCTATCGATTAAACCCTTAATTCCAAATCTGGATGGGTAGTTTTTGAGGAAATCGATAATTTCCGAAAAAATAGGCAAAAAAATCAAAAAAGTGACTTTTCCTAAGTCTATAGCTCTTCCCCTAAGCAAAATAGGGACCAGCCGTTTGTGTAGGGGGGTTCCTACAACCTGGTCTATCGATTAAACCCTTAATCCCAAATCTGGACGGGTAGTTTTTGAGGAAATCGGAAAGATTTGAAAAAAGGCCAAAAAAGTGACTTTTCCTAAGTCTATAGCTCTTCCCCTAGGCAAGTTAAGGACCAGCCGCTTGTGCGGGGGAGTTTCCTACAACCTCGTCTATCGATTAAACCCTTAATTCCAAATCTGGATGGGTAGTTTTTGAGGAAATCGATAATTTCCAAAAAAAATAGGCAAAAAAATCAAAAAAGTGACTTTTCCTAAGTCTATAGCTCTTCCCCTAAGCAAATTAGGGACCAGCCGCTTGTGCATGGGAGTTTCCTACAACCTGGTCTATCGATTAAACCCTTAATCCCATATCTGGATGGGTAGTTTTTGAAGAAATCGAAAAAGTTTGAAAAAATGGCCTAAAAACCGAAAAATTGACTATTCCTAAGTGTATAGCTCTTCCCCTAGACAAATTAGGGACGAGCCGTTTGTGTAGGGGGGTTCCTACAACCTGGTCTATCGATTAAACCCTTAATCCCAAATCTGGACGGGTAGTTTTTGAGGAAATCGGAAAGATTTGAAAAAAGGCCAAAAAAAGTCAAAAAAGTGACTTTTCCTAAGTCTATAGCTCTTCCCCTAGGAAAGTTAAGGACCAGCCGCTTGTGCGGGGGAGTTTCCTACAACCTCGTCTATCGATTAAACCCTTAATTCCAAATCTGGATGGGTAGTTTTTGAGGAAATCGATAATTTCCAAAAAAAATAGGCAAAAAAATCAAAAAAGTGACTTTTCCTAAGTCTATAGCTCTTCCCCTAAGCAAATTAGGGACCAGCCGCTTGTGCATGGGAGTTTCCTACAACCTGGTCTATCGATTAAACCCTTAATCCCATATCTGGATGGGTAGTTTTTGAAGAAATCGAAAAAGTTTGAAAAAATGGCCTAAAAACCGAAAAATTGACTATTCCTAAGTGTATAGCTCTTCCCCTAGACAAATTAGGGACGAGCCGTTTGTGTAGGGGGGTTCCTACAACCTGGTCTATCGATTAAACCCTTAATCCCAAATCTGGACGGGTAGTTTTTGAGGAAATCGGAAAGATTTGAAAAAAGGCCAAAAAAAGTCAAAAAAGTGACTTTTCCTAAGTCTATAGCTCTTCCCCTAGGAAAGTTAAGGACCAGCCGCTTGTGCGGGGGAGTTTCCTACAACCTCGTCTATCGATTAAACCCTTAATTCCAAATCTGGATGGGTAGTTTTTGAGGAAATCGATAATTTCCAAAAAAAATAGGCAAAAAAATCAAAAAAGTGACTTTTCCTAAGTCTATAGCTCTTCCCCTAAGCAAATTAGGGACCAGCCGCTTGTGCATGGTAGTTTCCTACAACCTGGTCTATCGATTAAACCCTTAATTCCAAATCTGGATGGGTAGTTTTTGAGGAAATCGATAATTTCCGAAAAAATAGGCAAAAAAATCAAAAAAGTGACTTTTCCTAAGTCTATAGCTCTTCCCCTAAGCAAATTAGGGACCAGCCGCTTGTGCATGGGGGGTTCCTACAACCTGGTCTATCGATTAAACCCTTAATCCCAAATCTGGACGGGTAGTTTTTGAGGAAATCGAAAATTTCCAAAAAAAATAGGCAAAAAAATCAAAAAAGTGACTTTTCCTAAGTCTATAGCTCTTCCCCTAAGCAAATTAGGGACCAGCCGCTTGTGCATGGTAGTTTCCTACAACCTGGTCTATCGATTAAACCCTTAATTCCAAATCTGGATGGGTAGTTTTTGAGGAAATCGATAATTTCCGAAAAAATAGGCAAAAAAATCAAAAAAGTGACTTTTCCTAAGTCTATAGCTCTTCCCCTAAGCAAATTAGGGACCAGCCGCTTGTGCATGGGGGGTTCCTACAACCTGGTCTATCGATTAAACCCTTAATCCCAAATCTGGACGGGTAGTTTTTGAGGAAATCGAAAATTTCCGAAAAAATAAAAATGGGCAAAAAGTGAAAAAAGTACCGAGTTGTGAAGCTTTTCTAAGACCGTAGGGGGTGGGGTAGGGTAAAAATTGCCCTAAATTTCATGCAGGCAGGTAGGTGAAACGCTACTGAATCCATTGGTACAACTTTTATGAGAATCTGACGGGTAGTTTTTTGGGAAAGCGAATTTTTCGAAAAAGCGTCTCAAAAAAAAAAAAAAAAATAAATAAAAAAAAATAATAATAAAAAAAAAAAAAAAAAACCAGATCTCACCTGGAAAAAAAAAACGTTTTCATAATACCTGTTTAATAAATCAAACAGGAATAAAAACTTCCATTTAACATTTATTTGCGAGTTATATTAGAAAAATAGAAGATTCGTATTCAGACACTAGCTGCTCGAAAATGTTAACTGAAACAAATGAGCATGTGAGCAAAACTGAAAACTTCCATCAATATAATGGATACGATCGAAAATAAGCGAAATCCTTTTTAAACAATTGCAAGCGTAAAGATGTAACTTCGCAAAAAATTTATGGAGTCATACATACAATGAAAAGCACAAGACCCGGCTGGGAATCGAACCCTAGACCTTAGGATGCAAAGGCAACCGCATTACCTCTAGGCCAAATGCGAAGGAACATAATGGTTTTAAGATTCAACAATAACGGAAGTTGAAAATTTTTAGTTTTTTTTTCCGGTAAGTAAGAACAAATTTAGCTCCCGATTACAAGATACTTGCTCTGGCAAGAGTAATTAATATAGCCAATCGAAGATTGGAAAAGAGTAATGAACGCAAGTATACAAAAGAAAAAACACTGACTTTCTTGAAAAAATCAATCTCAACTTTCGGATTTCAAAGAAAAAAATAGATGCCCTTAAAGCTCTTTGAACTTCCAGAACAATTTATGACTGGCGCTTTTTTGATAACATGAACACAGTTAGAGAAAAATGGATCAATAGGTAAGTTTTAATTCCTCCGGAAATCTAAAAATTAAATTCCTATTTCGAAACTAGAAATCGTTCACCGTTTTTTCGTGCCAATTCCATGTTCGTATTTGGAGAGTGCTATTTACGTCATTTTCAGCAGATGATTTTCAATTGAACTCAAAAATTTCATATATACCTAAGCACATTCATAAGTGCCTCAATATGTATGAATGCACATCTGTAGTTATTAGAGACTTTTAAGACTTTCCTGAAAAAAAATCAAAAAAATCAGCAAGACCTACATAAGAGTATTCACTACGTCCATTACTCTTATCAAGTTTAACATGGTCACCATTAAGCATAATGTCAAATCTCATCGTTGGCATGGCACCATTCCAATTTAACTTACCTCTGAGTAGTGGGATGTGTGTTCACATTCCTCTTGATCATCAACTTGTTATTAGAGAACAACATGAGCAAATCTACTCCGTAGTTGAACCCCGTCCACCTCCAGCAGTAGTCGTTGTTCGGGATGTCCAGGATTCTGCCACACCTCATCGAGTACTTGTTGAACACCGAAGGAGCCACAGTTGGCGGATTGCATCTTCTAGCATTACTACCACTGTTCAAACCAGGCTGGTCACCACCTTAAAACATAGCCACATGACAGTTGAAAAGAGTAATGAACGCAAGAAAACAAAAAATGACGTATTTTCTGAAAACGTTCGAATTTCAAAACCAAAAAGATATGCCTTGAAAGCTCCCGGAAATTAAAGATCTTTTTGATAAAAATAACCCAATTTGAACAAACTGAATTCTTAGGTGAAGTTTTTATTCCTCTTGGAAACCTGAAAATTAAATTCCACTTTTCGAAACAAGTCGATCATGGTTTTCGAGACCTTCACACTTTGGCTGTTTGAGAGTGAAGTCTGCCTTCCTTTTAACAAAAGAAATGAGCTGAACTTCAAAAGAAGTCAAAAGTCTGAAAACACACAACCAAAACCACCAAGATCTATCCTATATAAGAGTAGTCACTACGCGCATTACGCTTAAGCATAGCCAATAGACAGTTTGAAAAGAGTTAGTGAACAGCAAAAAAAACTGACTTGTTTCTTCGAAAAATTATGATGAGAATTTATGAATTCATTTTTCCAAATCATAAGTCAATCACGTTTTTGGTGACCTATACAGTTTCGATGTTCGATAAAGGAGTTTGCCTTCCTTTTAACAACAGAAATGCACTAATCTTGAAAAGAAATCAAATCAAACCGCGAAAAGTAAATTTGAGGCTGAACAAACTTTTTCCTAAAAAAACATCGCGACCTATATCAGAGTCTGAACTACGTTATCGACTCTTAAACATTCATGAAGACTTCAATAAATGAAATTCTGTTAAGCTTATTGTTAAAGCTCATTCATGATACAGATACTTACGAATATTTCTCCGATTGTCATTTTCGATAGACAAAAACAGAAGTTATAAAATTGTACGGAGAAGCGAAGCGGAGCTTTACACCACTTGCGATACCACATAAAATAGCATCGCAAGCTAGACGGTAGGAGAAGGAGAGCCTCGAAGTCCAAAAAAATGAAGTAAAAAAAACCACAATTAAAAAAACTTCCAAAATGTTGTTTGGACTGATGATCAATTTGCGGAAATTACTTCCGGGAGCACAATCGACGGCTTCAAATGAATATTAAAAATCAATTGTCGAGAGCCAACTAGGTCGACAAACTTCAGTAAATTCCCGTAGAACCAAAAACAAAATTGCTGTCATGAAAAATTTTGATTTACAAATTATTCTCTAAGACTAAGCATTTTGTGCGATCCGGAGGGGAGCATGAAAATTTTTTTTTCCTTGAAACGACCCAAAATTGGGTCTCTAAGCCAATAAGATATTAATTGGGGTCGAATCAAGGACGGCCAAACAAATTTTAAGAGAAACAAAAAAGAAATACGAAGTCAAGGTAAGTAAACTTACGAATTGCAGGAGTAACTCAAAACACTAAACACAACACCAATGAAAAATGCGTACATTAAAAAAATGTGATATAGTCTAAGATATGGCAAATAAGCTGACAAAACAAACAGACAAATAATAAGCCGACAAATTTATTTGAAACAGAATATTTCCCGTTTGAAAAAAAGAAAGGTTCTGATCAGATTCGAATCCAGTCCTTTTATCATCTCAAGCGTTATTACTACCACCAGGCTAGGTGTTTTTGTTCCATTCGTAAAATGATCTATTTTTTCTAACCGAGCTAATGGCAAGAAATGTTAAGCTAAGTCAAGCGCCATTCTGTCACAAAATTGCTTTACACCTGTTACTATGATTACTAAATTACTCAACCTGAATTTGATCCCCGAGTAGGCGACGAGTTTTGTACGAGGACTGCATTACTGGACTGAATCAGTAATTGCTGCGACACTAAAGCTGTGTTCTGAGCTGTTTCAGTTGAGTTTATGTTGCTTGCAGGCTGGCTGTTATTTGTGTTAGCTGCGTTTCCAGTCACCGATGCGTTCTCGGATTTCAGCATTGTTTTCCACTGAATCCAGCAAATGTCTCTCAGCCACTGCTTAGGAATAATGTTATCTTGCTCAACCTGAAAATGCAGTACTTGGGTATCTGATAAATTTGTTCACTGTAAAAGCTCTTCTTTTATCATTATTCAATAGCACTTAGACTGCAATTGAGCTAGACCATAGCTTGGCAGCTGACTATAACTTTGAAGTTTTAGAACATTATTTTAAAAAATGGATTTTTGAAAACTTTCGTCTCTAAGTTCGTCTCTAAGTTTTTCGGCCATATCATTGTGTATTATTCACGCATTTTTCTTGATATTCAAAAAGGGACCGTCATACTTTCCGTCAAATGAATTGTGTCAAAACTGGGTCAATGAAAATTAGATACTTGACACTGACCTTGAGAAGTGATGCACGGTCAGCTGATATATACTGCAATCTGAGCCCTTTGAAAGCCGGTACAAAGGGGATTCCCATGTCTGTCTCTAGAAAGGACACTCTGCCACTGCACTGAGTCTGGAAGAAAGTGTCCTTTGCGTCCAGTAACTCCCTCCTTTGTCCAGACCAGCTAGGATTAAGCCTAGTGAAACAAGATCAACACATTGATATCTCAGCATAGCTTAAAAGCTCATATAAGCACACACTACACACAATTCTAGCTTAAAACATGATAATAGTACCGTAAGGATTTTATAACATATCAGCTGACACAATTCTATTATGTATGACAGACTATGATTAGCGTTAATCGTAATCGCTGTTACCAATTTATCGAGAACTGCTAGGACTTAAAACCTGATGTTAATCAATTTTGTCAGCAGAAAAAAGTTTGGCGGAAAAACTATCATACAAATGGCCAAACCAAGGGCTATAATAGCATCAATGCCACTTGAAATACACATAAACACAACTAAAATTGTATAACTTAGAAGCTTTTCTCAGTACTTACCTCAAGAACACCCATTTCTTGAGCAGCGTGTAAATATCCATCTCGACTTGGTTCACAAAGAAGTTGCTCGTCGACTGGATAATGGTCACCATGAGGTCAATCGAGATACTCTGCAAGAGGTCCAGACTCTGGGTGAACATAAGGACTCTCTGGAGCCACTTGGCACACTTGCGGGCCAGTTTTGGATGTCCATACAATTGGGCCGCGTTATAGTAGAGACCCACTGTTGATAAGTTGATATTCTGGTGCATGATTTTAATCTGTTCAAATAAATCAACAGAAACCGATCACAGCTATTCGAAAAGTTCTCCTTAAACAACTTGTAGCCATATAAAGAAAAATAGTAAGACATCCTTTGCAATATACATGTCGCAAGGAAGCAAAATTCATTTTTTTTTAATCCAAGAAGAGGTGCACTTAGAAAGAGCGCTTTTGGAGGGCGAGAAGATACCCACGAAAAAAATTGCCAACCATTCAACGTGACACTATTAACTAAGAAAATATTTGGCGCGATTATCGAACAACTATACAGAAAGATGTCAGCACTCAACAAAAATTTTCGTTAACCAAAATTAAAACACGCCAAAAAATTTCGAAAATTCGCTGTCACCAAATTTGCTCAAGTTCCACTTACGCATAGTTCTACCATGCCATCCAGTTGAAAGAGGGAAGCTGCAGACAGAACCGCCACAACTTCTCCGGTTGGGATATTCACTTCACCACAGTAGAGGGAGCCGAAGGCAATATTCAGTGCAGACTCAGTCACGAAACTAAAATATGATATTACTAACATTACACTCGTAAAAATAATGACTAAAATCCAAACAAGGGGTTAAATTGTTTTGATGATCCGGCCGGGAAAAACAAGAAAAAACCTGCAAAAAAAACAAACCTAAAGAAAAACAAGACTGCTCGTATCAGGGCGAAGCCCTGAAAGTTCCGACTACCTTTTAAGGTCTATGGAGCATTAATAAGATGAAAAATTTCAATGTAATAAAAAAAAATTTTTTTTTTTTTTGAAAAAATTTGAGATTTTATGTAAAAACATCCCCCCACACGTCACCCCCCCCCCCCCCCACAAAGTGATAGATTTTGCGCCTATTAACAAATCAATTATGGCATATAAGCTTCCTTGAACCAATTTGGAACGATTTCTAAGACGGATTAAATATCGCTTACGCGTTAATAGCGCGAAATTTATCGCGCGTTAATTGTCCCAAATTGGCCAAAATGGCAATCTTTAAACCCCCATAACTTTACGAAAAATGATCACAGGTAAAATATCTTTTCAAATTCAAGCTCAGGAAAACAATCGCTTTCGAATGATATAAAAAAATTCCGTCAAAAACGGCTAGTTAAAAAGTCTGAAGAAAAAAAAACCCACCCGAGCACAAATATTCCGTTACTTTCGTATCGAAAGTCGGAACAAAAAGGAATATACAAAATCAAGGTTGCTAAAACAACCACGATAAACTTCGTTATCCGGTTGCTGTGCAAGTAGCACAGAATGTTCCAACTTAAGCAATTTAAGGAGAGCAAATAAAAAACGGGGAAAAACGAAAATTTTTAATTAAAGCTCAATTGTTTACACAATTACAGTACCTGTCTGGGATGTCAATGTTGATTGTGTTTAAGTCTGACTCGAGCCACCTTCCGCCAAACATGCATTCGAAGTAGTTGGACTGAGAGAGATACAGTTTATGTAGTTTCCACTCTCTTCCCAGACAACGAATAGTCACATCACTGCCCTCTCCTGTTATGAAAAAAGGAACATTTAAAAACGATTCCTTTCTTTCTAATCGCAGTGCTACTATTTTCACACATATTTTGAGAAATGATGTTTCAATAAATTTTCTTCATTATAGATATCGTCTTTTAAAATTGAGTATATAAGATTGAAGCTCTCTAATGGTGTCGCCGATAACTTTTTGAGATGAAAATTGATATAACAGAGGCGGAGCGGAGCTTCGCGCCACTTGTGATACACAAAGCCACCGACTCGCAAGAAAAATTGACCAAACGCCAAAAAAAACAACACCCAAAATTTTTCCAATGTTAGTTGCAAACTGAAACTCAATTTAATGAAAACCTGTGGCAGAAAAACACGGCCAGACATGGACCAGCTTGAAAAACTTCGCATTATGCTACACATTGCCCTCTAACAGTCAGTGGAAAAAAAAAGAGTCAAACAAAAAAATTTAAGTTGAAAAATTACTTGGAAACATAATTTGAAAAGTTTTGCCAAGAAACAACAGCTACAAAAACTTCATGGTTGAATCAGATGAAGTTCATAAACAGCCTTAAAATCAATTGGAAACCATTCACCGAGCGGCAACAAAGGCGACAAATTTTGGATCGAAAACAAAACTATTGTCATAAAAAAACTTCATGAAAATAAGTTTTTATGACCCATCCATACTAAAGCACGTAATCCTATACGAAAACATTTTTTTTCTCAAAATTACGCAATATAACTAGACTAAGCCGAAAAAAACTCTTCAAATTAAAATAAAAACGCAAAAAAACTACGCAAAATGAGACATGGTAAATTTACAAATTACAGAGATTTCAGTTATGGTAAAAAACCTGTTTAAACTAGTAAGTCAAAAAAACCCACAGATAAAGACACATAAGCGATAAAAATACAAAAAAGGAAAATGACCCGACAGAAATCAGCACAAAAACCACGAACCTGAAAAAAAAACAGACATTTTTTGAAAAACTAAATACTATCTGAAAGAGTTTTTACTCAATTACTACTGAAATGATAGTAATTTTATTAGAATTTCAGTAGTGGTAAAATCCTACTATTCGGGTCCAGTTTATCATTCCTACTAAAATTTGAGAACAATTTGTTTACGAGGAAAAATTCTAGTACCCGATTGCACTACCCTTGCTTATCGTAACGGTAATGAAAAAACGAAAAATGTCTATCAAATTTTAACTTTTTATATAGCTCGATAGAAGCTCATTCTAGATGAACATGTCAGACATTTGATTAGCAACGGAACAAAACTTATGAAGAGGAAACAAAGCCGACTATCTTTGAGCAGACATGAGCCAAAGAAAAAAGACTTTTCAAAAATCTTCTGAAACTACAATGAACAACACTTGCACTTGCAACTACAATCCGTGATGTGACAACTCAATCAACCACCTTTGAACAGATACCAGTTTGGCCGGAAAAAAAAATTTTGAAAAAATATTTGGCACGTTTGGGCATTTTGTTTTTGCTAATTTCTTGCTCAGTTCTGCTTAGCTCTTGAACTTATGATGAAAATTTGCTCTAGTCATGAAAATAACTCTGGACTGGGGCACCCTATCTGAAGAGCTAGTAACCATTCAGGAAAACTTTTTCAATTGGAGAAAATTGTTTTTTTTTGTCTTCAAGTCCTCCTGAAACTACAAACAACAACACTTGCAATTAAAATGAAAATTTCTTGTAACACAGGCAAAACTTCTGATGAGACAACTAAGCCGACCAAAGTCTAGTTCACGATTACAAGGCACTTGTTCTCGCAAGTGTAATCAGGATAGATCAAAAATTAAAATCCTGTTGTGAAGATGATCATTTTTTACTCAATTCTACGCCACCTCCGTTTAATTTTAAACCAACAAAATCGTACCTACAGTATACAGAAAAATGTTAGCACTCAATCGAAAATTCTCGCACAAATTAAACACAAAAACCATACAATTTCATCATGATTTTTCACTAACCCTGAATGAACAGCTTGTCGTATATGTACTGTGCAGTGGAATCCAACTTCAGCCTCTTCGTGTGAGGTGCTCTGGCTGAGGGCGATGATGATGCCACTGCAGCTGCTGATGACGATGACTCATCTTCTGTGCTTGAGAAGTCAACACTTTCACTGTCTCCCTCATCACTAGTTGTGTCACCTAAGAAGCACTCATATGGTGATAAAAAAGAATCTTAATAAACTTATGGGTTATTTTCTTTTGATACCCAGAATAATTAGATTTTAATTAATTGAACATCAGAATCTTTAAGCATTTTTCCAAACTTCCAAATCTCTGCCTACGGGTCGTGAGCTACAGGGATACCAACAACAATGTTAAAAATCGATAACAAACGTCTTATAACACTTCAAACGTGTACCTCTTTACGTTTCAAAACTGGGTTCAAGGCGGTAGAATGTCTTATATTTTATCCAAGCTTACCATCGACTGGAATCACAACCCTTCGTGGCCTCCGTCTTTTTCTAGAGAGATTCCTAGCCTCATTCGCGTCTCCGTTATCTCTTCTTGGCTGACCACTCAAATGACCTGCCACACCAAAGTTCCGAGTACCTATGCCAGCAGCACCCGATGGCGACCGCGGAGCTCTGTCTTGTGAAAAGGTGCCGCCCATTTTTAATGGAATAAAATTAAATCATTTTTAAACCTGAAGAAAAAAACTTGTTTTCGGAACCTTCGCAGACTAAGCACCGAATCATTCAGCTGTTTAATTTAGTTTTTTTTGCTGATTTCAGAAGTCTTGATAAGACCATTCCAATGACAACCAGGTCTCAGGAGATTTGGTTGCTATTTCTTATTAACAGACTGCGTGATGGATTAAAAAGAAACAGTTAAAACTATTGATTAGTCAAAATTCAATCAGCCATAATTTATTCAAAATTCATGTTCGCGTCTATTAACTGGGATAATTAATTTTAAATATAGATTTTTCACTGTTATTCAGCTTTTCATCAATTTCAGAGCACCGTATTTACAGTCAAATAGATTAACACAATTTCTCTCAATGATGATAAATGCTAATTCATTCTCATTGACAATCACGTACTCATTTGCAAATCTAAGAACAATTTTCGTTTCAGCTCTTCAACTGATAATAAAAAAAGAACAAAGACAAAAATAATTTAACACTATGGCAGCACTGCTTAAAGGATAGAGAAAACAACGTTAAAAAAGAACATAAGTGAATCGCGCACTATTTTGCTTATTTCATTAATAATCTGCAGTCTCCCACTTCCGCCAAGAGACTATCTGCAGAAATGAAGCACATTTCAGTATTCTCTTTAACTATTATCCCATCTATGATACCAAAAAAAAACACTATTAAGAACCAACTCGACATCTTGACATAATCAAGATTTGTACCCAAAAAATCCCTCTTTTGCGATAGGGACTCGCCCCCTCATTAAAAAAACAGTAAAAGAGATTTAATCCAACCCCTTTGTTAAAGAGATGTTACTTCGGATAAATTAAACACTATAATTAAAACAAAATTAAAAATCAAGTCTAAGGTTATTTCTTCATTGAGAGCAAGTTTACAATTGACACGGAGACACCATATAATATTTGGAAATATTTCAATCAATATTATACAGTAAGGACATATCAGTGGTGGCTGCTAATTAATTATTTCATGACAATTAAAAAACAATGGTTAACACTAAAACAAAATTGTAGCCAAAACAAGATGAAACGTCAATCATTTTCCACGAATTCAATTTCAGACCAAACAAGTGCACTTTCCACAAAAGATATTATCTATCATGGCGAGATTTCAGAATCAAAATTGATTTAAAAGAGTGGCTGAAAAATTGTGGACGTTGAAGAAAGAGGACAAACAAAAAAATTCAAAGTGCCAAAAATTTACGCTCTATGCCATTGTTCAAATTTGCATAAATTTCATATAAAAGTTCACTGAAATTGAAGCGGATTTAAGAACAACACATTAGAAACAATTTATAAATTACCCATGCCCAAATACTTTGTATCTATTCAAACCGACGCCACTTTGAAAACCAAACCAATAAAGAATGTTTCAATTGCTTGCTGTGATTTTTGCAAAACTTTCGAATACCTGCCTCAAATTACATATGAATCAAGGCCACACCACATTCACCTCGTACTTGTATTGAACTTTTCTATCAAATCTTTCACAATTTTGTCCTCTTCCAGTTCAATGTGCAGGTAATCAGAGACATTCCTCGCGAGCCAACGTTTGAACAACATCAGACGTTTCTGATTTTCCGGACTGAAATCATAGATGTCGTCGTAGTCTGGTTTAACACAATACACACAACTCGGAATAAACAATCCATGCGACTGCCGAACCCAGTTTCGCCTGACAATTGACAAAAAACAGCAGTGACAAACGCTACAGAAATGGTTACAGTAAGGCGATTTAGATATCATATACCACCGAGCGGGCATATTTTTTGAACAAACTAAGCAAAACAGATGCATTTCCTCGCCTTCTATGTCGTAATCAGCTCTATTCGACCCCAAAACTTGACACTGAGATGATTGAACATTTAGTGATTGATGAGTGCCTTTTTGAAATCCAAGCATGCTAGGACCTTCATCTGACCCTTGCAAGCTATCTGGTTTAAAATTTTCCGAAGTGTCGACTTTTAAGTCTGGTCTCATTTCTGACTCAAGATTCGACAAATATGATTCATTTTCTGGTTTGCTTTTGCCATCATGACCAGACCTTTGAAGCTTAATTTGCGCGACGGGCGTGTTTGGCGGCACATGAGGAGTCTGGAACTCATTCGCAATTTTCTTTTCCAGATCTGCAAGATCTCGATGCGAAATTCCGCCGGTCACCAGAAGAGATCTCCTCAACCAAGCCGATACCACCTCTTGGTCGCCGCCACTTTGCATCATAACTTTGGAGTAGTTATATAGCATCGCACTAAGACACTCATCAAATTTAGAGGAACCATTTCCACTTTTCAACAGATTACTATTTGCTTCTTCCTGTCGCTCACGCGATACTGTTTTAAAGCTTGCAACTATATGTTCGTTCATTTGCTGGCTTGCTTCAGTTTCAATCGGCTGTAAGTCAGGGTAATCAAAGGGGCCGTCCAGCTGAATGAAATTTTCCGCCTTGTTTCCCACGTCAAAATTTTTGTTTAAATCAATTTTTGCGATGAAATCCTCCGCCTTTTGCTGCTCAATTTTGTCAACCTTTGCACTTCTCTCATTCATTCTAGCCTGTTTCTCTTTTAGCGCACTTGACGGTCCAGGTTTACCCGAATGATCGTAATAGCTATAAAAAGGCTGCTTTGATTTCTTAGGAGCGTTCAACAAATCGCAAAACCCGAAATCGTCCTCAAACCTTTTCACGCGATTGTTATCGCTATCCTCTCCTTCATTTTCTGATGCTTTAATAGGACTGACGTGAAAACGGTGATTATCCCAGCCAGCCATGTAGTTTATTTTATTTCGAGGGGGTGCTTGGTCGCGGCCTTGCTCATTAAGAGGAATCGGGTGGTTTTTAGATACAGCAGGTGCTTGTTCCACGGTTTCATTATACTTCTCCGTGAGTTTTGTACACAAAGAACAGAATCCACTTCCCATAATGCAATGACAATTTGAGCACCACTCAGCGAGAGGTGACTGTGTTTTATAAGGTTTAACAGGGTACATGCCAATTGGTGTTGATGTCTGCATCCTGCATGGAACTTTACTGACAATGGTTTCATTTATCAACTTCCCAGCTTTTTCACTTTCTCGTTCCTGACGCTTATCTTCAGCTACATCAACAGTTTCCTTCAAGGTTTTTAACTTAGACTTATAATCTTCAGATTCGAAACTTCGATGCTTGAAAATGTTTGAATTCAGATCGAATGCCAACTCCCACGCATATTTAGCACTTTTACTTTTCGTTGAGATTCCATTGCTAGAACTATTTTGCACTTCTGAAGATCTTTCTACTATCTCTATCAGTTCAGGTTTTACTTCAGAATCTAGACAGATGGAGCCACTGGCCTGATCTGGAGCTTTCATTTCTTCTGCCTTGACGAAATCAAGATCCCCACAAGCATCTTCAGTTTTATCATCCACCGTATGCACCTCACAATTTTTACTAAGCGGTTGATCCATGTCAAACTCTGTAATATCTTCTTCTTCTAAACTTTTACTTTTGAGTTCCAATTTTCGTTTTTCAAGGTCGGCTTTCTCAGAACAAGAAGTTAAAATCCCATCGCTGTTCATCTGCTTGACCTTCACAACTGGCTCAACTCTATCAACAAAATCTCTTCCGCCTATCTTGTCAGCGCAGGAAGATTTTTTCGAATAAGAGCTTCGATATCTATCTTTCGTCCCCCAAAAGGCCGGTTGAACACTATTTTCCACCACACTTTCTGCCATTTGGTTGCACAATTGTTCAGTTTCTGGCAATTCTGGAAAATCATTGTAGCAACTATCTTCGGGAGCAATTCTGAAACATTTGTTCAGGAGATCTTTATGATTGTTACTCGAATAAAGGACCTCAATTTCCGGGCCACAAGATTCGGTCAACTCCGATCGCTCGGAGGGCACTCCATTTTTACATACCTCATGCAAAACAATAATTTCACATATATCATTCTCGTCATCTATTTTTTGAGCAACTGTACACTTTAATTGAACTTTGACCTTAGCAATATCCTGGACTTTTCCTTCAGCTGCTGACACCCCTTCACCAATTGAGTTTAATACTGACATTCCAATTTGACTATCACAAGTCTTCTCAACCTCAAAATCCGATCGAGAGTTGTCTGCAGGCAACACTTGTCCGGTTGATTCATTTTCATCAGCTTCGCAAGTGTTATATTCCGTTTCTACCTTTGGACTACGCGAAACGTTTTCATCGACATTAGATAATTCTTCATTCAAGTATGAGATAGAGCTTCCAAATTTAGACTTTTCCCCAGTAAACTTAAAATGAAAATCCTTCTGAAAGTTATTGGAAGATACAATTAATCTAGTTTCTTCAGGTTCGTTTTCTTCATTTTCTGCAACATTGCTAAATCTACATGAGGGCATTTTTACAACCCATTTATCCGCAACATTTCCGTCGGTGATTGAAAAATCTTCCTCAATCAAGCTTGCTTTTGAAACACCTGTTACACTTTCATCATTCGGTGCTTCATTCTTAGAATGGGATGCGATCTCCGATATTTCATTAAGCTTCAATTTTTCTGTCAATTCATCTTCAATATCTTCATTTTCAGCAAGCGCACAGAATCTAGATTCATCTTCAATTTCGAAACTATTATCATTTTCCTCAGCAATTGATGTTGCTGTTAATAATTGCTTATTCACGCATTGTCTGTCCTGATTTTTATCTGGCTCATTCTCAATTTCAACGTTGTTATTTTTTTTGCCTATAATACTTTTCAATTCTGCGCGAGTAGCCTCTGGATTGCTCGCCTCGCTATATCCATCAAGCAAATTCTCTTCAAACTGAGTAGAAGTGGCGTCCTCGATCATAGTAGAAACCGCTTCTGAAACACTCACATTGCTAGGATAACCAATCATTGGTCTATCGTGCTCATCTGCTTTGAAATCATCATCGTCAATAAGTTCGAAAGAAAGGTCGGAAGAACCACTTGGCGAGTTACGGTCCAACTGCGATTTAGGAGTCAAAAACTCTCCACAAA